GCCAGGAGAACCCCGATGGGGCCCCACGGCCAAGAGCAGTGAGCAAGAGGCTTCTCTCGCCAGGTCCCCACCTCCACTAGCTCTAAGGGCTCTGGGGCTGGGGACAAGAGGACAAAGCTCAGAGGGGAGGTCCATTCCCCCACCCTTGCCAACCCCAGCTGCACCCCCCATCTGTACCTCTCTCTGAGGCCCCTCTCACTTTTCCAATGCTGGGCTCTGGATTCCTGAGGGGAAATCCCAGCCACCTCTCTTTGGGGATCTGTGAGCCGTGGACTCCCTCTTCTGGTGAAGTGTGAGGAGATGGTGCTCAGAGCAGAGGGCCGGGCGTCTGAGGCAGAAGTGAGTGGAGATCCCGTGTCCCCTCACCCTGCCCGGCTCACCTTCTCTGCGCCCAGGTATAGCCTCCTTAAAGATGTTTCTTCTTTTCCTCCCTAGTAAAGAAGCAAGGGGCAGGACTATCTCCTCTCAGCTTCAACGAATTCACAGCCTCAAATGGGCCACCAAGGGTCCCTCTCCCGAAGGCAAAAGGACAACTGCCTTGGGACTCCCAAAGACACGCCCGTGGATTTTTAAGACAAAGAAAATGAGCACACTCGTGAAAATGTGACAACTGTAATGGAAAATTAAAATAGGATTCTTTCTGTCTCCCTTTCTGCCGTGGCCCCAAAGGCCAAGAAGAAAACAATAGGTGCCAACCACTGGCCAACCAGGTCCGAATGAAGGGCCAGACAGGTGGGCAGGAGCAGCACAGGTGGTGATCGGAAAGTCATTCTTGCAAACCCACGCACCGGGGCAGAGGGTGCTTTGCTCTCTCTTAAGCTAAGAAAGGAGGTTTACAAGTCACTCGGCAGGGGTGGGGGGGACTGGAGGGTGGGCTTGATTTGTGCAGCCAGAGTAAGAGGGAAAGAACCAGAAGAAAGCTGAGATCAGGAAATGCCACGCAACAAAAAGGAGAGAAAAAGAGCAGGGCTGCCCGGCCGAGGCAAGGGTGCCCGGTCTGAAGGGAGCTGGTGCGTGGTCATCTGAACCTTGCCCCAGCAACTGGGGATGTGACCACAGCTGAGATATGGACCATGGGATGAATTCCTCATGCAACTGGCTGGAGGAGACCCATGGTCCCCCTCAGACTGAGGAGGCTGAGGCCAGAAGACCCCAAGAATCCAGGAGCACCCCAGCTAGGGAAGAGCCCGCAGGGGAATCCCAGCAAGCACCTTGACCGATGCTTTTTGTCCATCAGTTGAGAACTTCATGGCTCTCCAGCGTCCCCCTCCAGGAGCCACAGGTCACATGATGAGTTGGGGGTGGAGGGGGTGGAGAAAAGCAGAGGTAGGTAGGAAAGAGAGAAGAAGCTGACCCCCTTCCCCAGCCTGGCTCAGTCCAAGCCGGAAGAGGGAAGGAGCTTTAGCTTTGGATGAAGTTCTGAGCTCATTACACTAACATCTGAACTGCGGGGGGACAGAGCTACTGAGATGGGGCTTATCACCGATAGTGCTTGGAGGATTTATTATCCGAAAGGGACCAGAAAAGTTATGGGACTCACCAGAGCTTTCATTCAGAGTTGGAAAATCAAAATAACTCACGGTGTATGTTTACAGGGAGACGTGGGTGCGGAGGGGTGGCACATAAAGCTGGTTCCTTCTTGCACCCTAAAATGTTCTGGATGGGCAAAACGTTTTCCACGAATCATCTCATTTTATGTATCTTCAAATAACCTTGTGAAGGTCCAGTTATCAGCTCCCAGCTCGCAGATGAAGGAATCAAGGAGCTGCCCCACACTGGTCAGGGGCATTGCAGGACCCACGTAGCCCGTGGTCCTGTGTCTACTGGTGACCCACAGATCTGACTTCCCCAGCTTGCCTCCGAGCAAGGGCAGAGATCCATGAGGGCATCGGCATCACGCCTAGCACCTCTCCCGGTGTTCGGCACCTAGCACGTATTCATTCTGAATGAAGGCAAGGCCGCCCGGCCACGGAAATGCACAGAGCAGCATTTTATACATATTGACCAAATACTTGGCCAAACGCAAACGAATCAGCCACTCACAGCTTCTCTTGCCCCACCTTCCCCATTCTCTTCTTCTCCATCATTCTTTCCTTCACCGAGATTGTGTCATAGTTTCGGTGTGGAAAAGACCAACATCCGTCATCCCCATCTTCCTTCCTACTATTGGAACTTCCAGAAGGTTAACTGCCCACAAGCTGGCCTAACAGGAGGCTGCACCTTCCAGCATCCCTCCGGCTAGGTGTGGCCATGTGAACAAGTACCGACCAATGGGATGTGAGTGGAAATGGCACCTACTACTTCTAGGTTGTGAACTAAAGGCTCCACCGCTTTTTCCTTTCCTGTTGTCTCTCTGACTGTGAACATGGATGGACGTGAGGGCGGGGAGGCAGCTTCAATCACTCCCCCAGGCCAGTGGTTCTCAACCTTGTCTGGACATCGGAGTCATCTGGGAAAGTCTCTTTAAAAATCTTGATGTGGGGCACCTGGGTGGCTCAGTGGTTGAGCGTCTGCCTTTGGCTCAGGTCGTAATCCTGGGGTCCTGGGATCCCTCCCTACAGGGAGCCTCCTTCTCCCTCTGCCTGTGTCTCTGCCTCTCTCTGTGTGTCTCTCATGAATAAATAAATAAATAAAATCTTTAAAAACTAGAAAATAAAAATCTTGATGCCAGGGTTTCACCTCCAAGCACTCTGACTTGATTGAACTGGGTATGGCCTGGGCATCACGACCTTTCAAGGTCCTGGCAGATGTCCACACAAGGTGGGGAGAGTAATCATGACAGTGACTAGGGGATGAGTGGAGAAACAAGATTTTTTTTAAAAAAAAATGGCCCTTAGATCACCTCTCTTCCCTGGAATCCACTCACCATAGACTGCCTCCTGCCTTTGGGCAATTATGTGACCAAGTCAGAAACTCCTTCATGTCTGAACCATATCCTTCCTTCTGGGGTCTCTTCTGGGGTTACTGCTCCATAGGCTGGACCTCACCGAACCCAATCAGTGAATCCTGCAGCCTGCAGTAGTTGGTGCTGAAGATCCATGTGGGCTTGGTTTCTCTTTAAGGCCCTGGGGGCTTAGGAGTGGAACCCCATAGCCATAGGGTACAAGTCTGGACTCACTGGCTACTGGTAGACTAACGTATGGATTGTTTTGCCTGTAATCTAATTTTAGACCAGCTTGGCAAATAAAGACATCAAATGTATTGACCTACCAAGAATGATCCAGACAGATCACCTTCCAAGAAAGATCCAACCCATTCTGTGTGCTCTCCAGAAGTTTCCTTACCCCTAAATGAGTGACTCTGTGAGCCCAAAGGAGTGGAATCTTTGGGATGTAAAATGAGATGCTCTTTCAGTATTAAGTCATCTGTGCTTCCCTGCAGGGTCAGCAAGGCCAGGTTTTGGCCATTCACCTGGCCACCATTCATCTCTAGAAGAATCAGGATGGATGACTCAGTAGCTGCAGTATTTATGGGCTAAATAAGGTAAATTGTCCAATGTTAAGAGCAAGATAAGAGGGATCCTTACCTATTAAACGAAATCTGATAAAGCTGAGGATTAAGGGGAGGAGCATAATACGTGGTCTGGAGACCCACCTGAATCTTTCTTTTCCTATGAGAACTTTCCATGCAACTTTTAAGAAATGTTTTTTACCACGTGGCCCTTAATCTCAACACATTGTTCAATCCAGTTATAATCCCAGCAGGACCGCTGCAGGTAGCAAACACTCCAGGGCTTTGGGCAGAAACCAACGACAAGGGGCACATGCTCAGCAGCACGGGCAGAACCTGTAACCTCTCTTCTAGGATTTCTCAACAGTGGCACTTGATATTTTGAATGAGATCATTTCATTGCGGCGGGGTAGGGGACTATCCTGTGCTTTGTAGAATTTTAGCAGCATCCCTGGTGTTTACCCCCTGGATGTCAGGAGCACTCCCCGCATCAGTCCTGACACCCAAAAACATGTCAAAGTTGCCCCTCGTTGAGAAGCACCGCTCTAGATGAATTTCAAGAGGCAAGGAGTCTGATCCACGGCTACATCCCCAGGGCCTAGCACAGTGCCAGGCACGTATTAGGGCCCAATAAATACTTGCTTGGTGAAGTATGGGAGAGGAGGCGGGGATGTACCAAGGCCCATCTGGGGATGCATCCAGAGGTACCTACCAGACTGCATGCAGCGGCCATGAACATGCGTGCTCAGATCTCCTGCTTTGGGGAGCATATGGACTGATGGCCACCAGTGTGTCCATGCAGTGGCCAGGCTTCCCCCCGGGTCCTAACCAGTGACCTTGCATGGTGGAGGTGCTAAGGGAGAACCATTCTTGCCAGACGTAGGACCTCCTCCTATGGTGACTTTGCCTCAGGGACATCCTAGTGGCTTGGTCAAAACTTTCCTGGAACTGTGCTGCCATCTGAGACTCTCCCTTGCCCGCTCCCCTTTCCCCGGAGGCCAGCCTGGCACAGGGTCTGACAGCCCTCACCCCCTCCAGCTCCAGCTCCCACTCTTTATCCTTCCCCCCAAATATCCCTTGCCCATCTAATCCCATCTTGTTTCTACTTTTTGGTGGCATTCTAGAAAGACGGCATTCTAGAAAGACGCCTTTCCCCATAACCCCCTTCCCACACCCGGCATTCTAGAAAGACGCCTTTCCCCATAACCCCCTTCCTGAATGATGCCACACTCTGGGGTGCTCCGTTGATAAAAGTAACATGCACAAACCAATTTAGACAGGAAGGGAGTTCTTGAAAGTGACTCAATGTGCCTTTGTCCCTAGAACCACACAAGAAATGAGTTTAATTCATAAATAATAGCTCATAACTAATAAAACCAGACACACACTAACATTCCAGTCCAAAAGACTCTTACAAGTTAATCTTTTTTTTTTTTTTAATCGGTTTTAAGGCAGCAAGTAGAGTCCTCTGGTCCGCATGCCTTTCTTCTGCCCAAGGGAGGGAAGGTCAGGAGGAAGGGTAAGAATTGGCCATTGGGACCCCAGTCAGCACACACTTCCCCATAATCCATCCCATCTTGTCTCTCTGGCCCCCAAAGGTGATCATAATGCACTTTGGTTCCAGAACAAGCATGCGCATGGCCCCATCTGGCGGGGTCTGCTGGAAGCGTCTTCTTGGTCCACGGCCCCTGGCTCAGCTAGCTTTCCCCTCCTCCAGGCTCTCCCAGGGCAGATGACCTCCTTTTCTATGCCCTGGTCACCCGATTCTCCTGTCCCGGTGTCCTCTGAGTCCATCAGGCAGGTCCCACTCTGCGTAGGCACATCCATTTTGATCTGAAAAAAGCTTCAGGCACAAAAGGAAAGCAAGTGCTCAAAAGGAAAGCAAATCCTCAACATACCCTGACATCCTTGGAGAAGAGTGACATGCAGGTGTAGTTGCCAAAAAACTGTGCAGCAAATGGCTCCGTGGATTTCTTTTATTGGTGGTAGAAAGGGACTCACATTTTTCTGCTGAATTGAGGCTGATTCGAAAGATGTTTTATTTTCATTTTTGAGGGGCTTGAATTTTTTATGGTTTTAATGAGTTCGGGATGTCCCATTAGGACATGCCTGCAGTTTAATCCTCAATCTAGTTAGACTGCCTTCTGATGAAGTGGTACCCCTGAGCAAAGAGCTTGTTAAAAGCCCCAAGCCTGTGTGTGTGTGTGTGTGTGTGTGTGTGTGTGTGTGTGGCATGGCAGTGGCTGCAAAGCTAGAACATTCCCTGAGTAAGGTTAGTTGGGAAGAATCGATAGACATGCTCACCCTCAATCCCTGGCCGCCTTCCTGCTTCCCCCCTGCCCCTCCCGACAACGTGGGCAACAGAGAACTAATAACCTCTGCCTCCTGCTGTCTCCCGAGCACACTGGCCAGGCAGAGGAGGCCAGGGATGCTCCGGTATCCATGGCAACCTGAGACCTCTGCGTGGAGATTTCTTTCTCCAACACCAGCCAAGGCCAAACACAGGCGCATGTTGATTGGTGCCGGGATACCCCCAATTGTCTTCCCCAAACCATCATAGGTGGGGCCTAATTCACAGTTTGGCCTTGTCCACAACTTTCCTTTCTGTCACTGGTCCAGGAGCTATGGAGCACCCCTGGGAGTTTTCTGCATCCGGTAAGCTGCCTCAGGGCACTTGGGGTTCTCAGAAGTCAGGCTTGCAACGCCACCCACAATGGAGCAGAGAGGGGCCACCTCTCAGAAGAGATGCACTGTGGTTTTCACAGGAGTGACTGTAGAAGCAGGGATCCCAGCAAGCCCCTCTGGGAGTCTGCAGGTACATGCAGGAGGAGGGTGGGTGAGGCGAGGGCACCTCAGGCAGGGGAGGGGACTGGAGCCCCCACACCTGTGGTTCCCAGGGCTGCCACTGGCCTTTCTTGCCCTTTAGAAGTGCGGTGGATTCATTAGAGTAACGTTTGGGGGATGGGGCAGGGTGTGTGCTGAACAGAAGGGGGAACAGGATGAAAAAGAGAGACACCTGTTCCTTTTCTTTCTCAGGAAGCAGGGGAGGGCAATGCTGAGTTCCTGGAAACTATCTCACAGCTTGTTTTAATGTCTACTAGGCTAGAATCCCTGTTACCCAACCCACCAGCCCCCAGTTCCAGACCATGTTCAAGCCACACAGCCCTGGTCCCCGCCACAAACATACATGCATACACATGCACACTCACATGCCCACAGACATATGTGCACTTCACTGTGCATGCTCCCACACACTGAAGCGTGCAAACATATACACAAATACCCAGGCATATGTACATGCATGCATGCTCACACACAGGCAAATGTGCAAACACACCCCCCCACAGACATGTGCACACATGCGCACACACAGGCATATGCACACATATGCATGCTCACACAGGCAGGTGTGCATAGACCTCCAGGCATCTGCACGCTCATGCACAGGCACATGTGCACACTGCACAGGCATGTGCACCATGCACGGAGATACACGTGCACACACACACGCGCACACAGCACAGTCCCTTCTGGTTCTTACTTCGCTACTCTCCTGGCTTTCTGTCGCGGCAGCTGCTGGCCCACATCCCCCAGGGGCTGCACCTTCCCGTGGGACACCGGGGGGCACTTGGGCGAGAGCCTGGCAAAGACGGGGGAAGCTAAGCAGCCCCGTCTCAGCAGCCTGCCGAAGGTCAGAGCCGCGCGGGCCTTGGCCGGGGCCTTGGGCTGGGGCCGGGGCCAGGGGTGCTCAGCCGAGGCCCCCCGGGTGTCAGCGTCGGCCTGCCCCGCGCAGGCCCCCGGCCCACTGGCCTCCCCCTTGGGCTCCGAGCTCTCCAGGGCCACCCGGATGGGCGAGGGGCAGATGGCGCTGCTGGGCCTGCGGATGAAGCGGCTGGGTGAGGGGAAGGGCCTGCGCGGGGAGCGGCAGGACGGGGAGAAGGGGCTGGAAGGAGAGGGGGGCACGCAGGTCCCGGTGTACACGGCCAGGTGAGGGCTGGGCGCGGTGTGCTGGCCCGGCTGCAGGGAGGAAAGAGAGCCAGAGTGAGTGGCATGGGCCCGGGGGGCCCCTGCTCCCTCAGCTCCCCCCGTGCCCAGAGCAGAGCCCCAAGGGGCTGCCCCCGGGGAGCCGGGGAGGGTGCCCAGAGCCACCCGCCGCAGTGGCACAGCCGCACGAGGCCTCCTGCCCAGGGGCTGCCCGTCCCTGACCCCCGCCACGGTGGCAGGAGTTGGGCGGCCACATCCCAGACTGTCTTCAGGGCCTGGGGCACCAGGTGTGGCCAGGCTGGCCTCCAGTTCCCCTCAACTCCTGCTCCCCAGTGAACTGTGCTCAGCACCCGCCACCCCCCACGCCATCCCTTCCCTATCCTCGGCTCCCAGCCTGAGGACTGGAGGCATCTAAACCCTGTGACGGAGCAGTGGAGGTGGTACAAGGAGCCCCGGCTGAGGCCCCGCTGGCTTGAGACCACCCACCTTGTCCTGGGCCCCGACCCTTGTCAACCTGGCCACACTTGGGGTGGACACGCTCTGTCACTTTCCATGCCTCCCACAGCAAAGCAGGGGGGCCAGAAAGACTGAGTGTGGAACCAGGACACGTCAGTGGAGTGGGGGGGATCTCAGCCTCCCCGGCTCCCAAGGCCCCAGAGTCCAGGAGCAGAGGGGCCGGAGTGCCGGACCAGGCAGCTGTTCAGCGAGGAAGCCCGAGAGAGCTTTGTCTGAGCCGACAAGGTTAAAATTGGAATTTGCAGGGCGGCTCTCTGCTGTCACCTCTCTACCCTCCATAGACGGGCCTCGGAGGGCCCATCGGCCCAGTTTCTTATGCCCACACCAAAGTCTAGCCAGGATGTGCCGGTCCTGGTGGGGAAGGGGACCCTCTGGGACAGTTAGGCCAACGCTGTCTCTGAGAGAGAACCAGAAAGGACTTCAGGGAACAACAAACCCTCTCCGGAACTGGCACAGCCCCACAGACGCCCCGCTTAGAGAAGCCTGCCTGCCCCCAGGGCCTGGGCATCATCCTGGGGCCAAAGGAGGGCAGCTCAGGGCGCTGAGCTGGAGGCAGCTGGTTTCCTTGGGGTGTGGCCTGATTTCCAGGTCACCCCGAGTGTGCCAGGCACATCCAAGGACAGCTTTTGGAGGAAAAGAAAGGCCAGGAGGCCACTGAAGGCTTTGCCATGGGGCACCGGGGGTGGTCTCCATTCTCCCCCACCAGCTCCCCAGAGTTCAAGCTCAATCCCATCCTGAAACAGCAGCTGGGAGCCACTGATTCTGTTCCTCTGCTCTGGCAGCCACAGGCCAACAAACCAGAGCCAAGGCCCAGACCTGGGGCCCCAGGGTTGACAGACTCATCGTTGTTAATATGTAGTGAGAATCAGCAAATAGGAGGCTCTGGGCTGAGCACTTTTCGTGGATCACTGCATTTACTTCCCAGAGCCACTTGGTAAGGTGACCAACTCTCATTATCCCCATTTTATAGATTAGGACACTAATGCTTCAAAAAGTGAGCCCCAAGGACAGGCCACTGGGGACGGCGAGGCAGGCTTTGAAGCCGGGCTCTCGGGCTGCATGTCCCAGGGCAGCCTGCACCTCAGCCCACCTCACAATCACCCCGGGTGTCTGCTGCAGGTGCAGATCCCAGCCCCAGTCAGACCCACCCACGGGGACTCAGGGACTGCAACTGAGGGACGGCATCTTCTAACAGACACCCAAGGTCATGGTTTTGTTATCCTGCCCAATGAGTTTGAGGAGCCCCACAGTATGCCTCTAACACTGTCCTTCTATGGAGATGAGGGTCTCCCCTTAGGACACAGTCTGCATAACACAGACAAGCATAACCATAAAGGGGAAGGACGCCTGGATGGTGCAGTCGATGGAGCATCCAACTCCTGGTTTCAGCTCAGGTCATGATCTCAGGGTCCTGGGATCGAGCCCCGTGTTGGACTCCACGCTCAGTGGGGAGTCTGCTTCTCCCTCTCCCTCTGCCTTTCCCCTGCTCACTCTCTCTCCTCTGCCTAAAATAAATAACATCTTAAAAAGAGAGAGAGAGAGAATAATGATAAAAGTTTGCTCTAATTTAGGGGTCAGGAGATGATGGTTTGGTGAAAAGAGTCCGGCCCTATAACATATGAAGCATCTACTATGTGCTAGTAGATGTATGTGTCTGTAATGCCCTCATTTTAGAGAACAGAAAATTGAGGTCCAGAGGGGTTCATCGCCCTCCCGAGGCTCTCACAACCAACAGGGACTGTGCTATGTAGGATGCTAAGGTGGTCCCTACATTCCCGTCCCTGTCTTCCAGTGTGGGTGCAGACCATAAACGTCACATGACAGTCACTCCAAGGTCAGGCTACGTGATATGGCATAGGTGACATTAACAAAGGATTATCTGAGTGAGCCTGACCTCATCACACGAACCCTTCAGATCTGAGTCTAGAGGCCAGAGACAGACGTCAGAGAGGTCTGAGGCATGACAGGAATTCAACGAAGGAGAAATTCTCTGTTACTGGCTTTGAAAGTGGAAGGGGGACACATGAGAGGGACTGGGGCGGCTTCTAGGCGCTGAGTACAGCCGTCAGCTAAAAGCCAGCAAAAAACCACTGGGGCCTTCAGCCTTACAATGAGACACTGAACCTCACCAACAACCTCAATGAGCTTGGAACAGACCCTTCCCAAGAGCCCCCCAATAGGAACACAGCAGCCTGGCATGACCTTGAGTGTGAGACCATGAGCAGAGGACCCAGCCCAGCCTCCCCTGGCCAACTGTGAGCTAACAAGCATCTGTGTCTGGGCTACTTTGTTACACAGCAATAGACAGCTAACACAGCAACTAGATGAGAATTCAATCCCAGGAGTGGGTAACCCCACAGCCCCTGCTTCGTCAACTGATCCTGATGGCCATCCCATTGCCTGCGGGGCTCAGATAGGACCTGGGGTCCTGCACGGTAGACTGAAACAACAAAACTAGGAAATAGGCTTTGTTAAGAGAGATGGAGTGGCATCAAGGCTCTCCTCCTTCAATAAATTGACTGAGGACACCCAACCATGAATCCTACTTTCTCAGAACCTGTGATAAACTCGTGATCACTCCCACTTTACGGATAAGAAAACTGAGGTTCGTGGAGATGACAACTTGACCAAGATGGTAGAGCTTATGACAGGAGGGGCCTCTCCATTTACCGCCCCCCGCACCCACCCAATTCTGTGTCCTCTGCTCAGCTCTCACCTCCTCCAGCACCTTCTTTTCCAGGATGAATGACAAGACAGGTGAGGAAGTAGCCACTGTCCTGCTTGACTTACCTGGCCCGGGAAGGTCCCTTCTGGGCAAATAGCCATTAGCGCCATTGGCCCTGGACACCTGTAGCAGGACACCTTTTACCCCATCCCTCCGTGACTCTGGCCCCTCCCACAGAGACCTAGTCCCTCCAGCGCATGCCATGCCCACCATTGGTGTGAGGCAGCGAAGCAGCGGCATGCAAGGCACATGGCAAAGAAATGTGACACGCAGAGACACGGTGAAGCTCTGAGAGCTTGGTTTGTTTGGTCTTGTGCTGCTGTTTTATTATGCAAGGAGTGAACAGAACGGGGAGAGGAGCATGAAATGCAGTGGGTACACAGTGACATGAAAACACAATCACAGGCCTTTCAATGGAGTGCAAAGCAGGTGGTGCAAAGAGATGCAATTCATTTTGTCTAGAAACTGGCTGAGAATTTGAAGGAGACCTTGGTGGCCTCCTGGACTCCCCCATCCTGTGAGCCACGTTCAGGTTCATCATGCAGTGTACACAGCGGCCCCTATGGTCCCTCCTTCCTTTCCCTTTCCCCATTGCCTTGAAAAGCCCATAAGCAAACTGGCTCCATGGAGAACAATCTACAAGGGTGAACACATCATTCCTCCTACCTACTATCTGGTTTGGCACAGCCTCACACAAGACCTTCCCCTTACTGTAGCCATGAAGCTGGAACCAGAGGATGGACCAGTCACTGTACTGTTGCTGGTCAGCCCTCTCATAGACAGCAGATATGACACCAATGCCCCACTCTCCTCCCTTCAAATATATCCTGGTCTCTGGAGAGTGGGGAGGGCCACACTGCAAGACTCTGAGAGAGCAGAGAAGTAAGATGGTTTAGGGAAACAAAGTTGTAAACACACTTCAGGAAATGCCCTAAATAATAAAGAATAACAAAGAATAATGAATCACTGTATGGGACGATGTTGACAGATGCAGAAAGCCCAAGCTTACTCTGAGACCATATGCTGCTAGGGATGGTGGTGATGATGGTGATGATGGTGATGATGATGATTATGGTGGTAATGGTGGTGATGGTGATGGTGGTGATGGTGTAATGGTGGTGGTGATGATGGTTATGGTGATGATGATGACAATGGTGATGATGGTTGTGGTAGTGATGGTGGCAGTGATGATGATGATGATGTTGATAGTGACTGTGATGACAGTGATATGAGGAAGAGGATGGTGATGATGAGGAGGACGGTGACAGTGATAATGGTTATGACACTGATAATAGTAGCTAGCATTTATTGAACAATTATATGCCAGACATTATCCAATGTACTCTACCTATTGTCCCTAGCCTTTATATTATCACAATCCTCACAAGAACAGTCCTTTCTCAGGATGCCTGGGTGGCTCAGCAGTTGAGCATCTGCCTTCAGCCCAGGGCGTGATCCTGGAGTCCCAGGATCGAGTCCCACATCGGGCTCCCTGCGTGGAGCCTGCTTCTCCCTCTGCCTATGTCTCTGTCTCTCTCTCTGTGTGTCTCTCATGAATAAATAAATAAAATCTTTAAAAAAAAAAAAAGAACAGTCCTCTCTCTAAAAGTCAAGCTTGAAAATTCTACAGAGTAAATTAATTAATTAATTTAATTATATTAATTAATCAATTCTACAGAGTAAATCCTGGTACTTTACCACATAGTTTATATTCTAGCATAATCTATACCCCACCACAAACAGAGAAACTCAAGCAGTTTAAAACCTGGCATTAAGGAATTACGATGGTGTCTAAGGACACAGACAGCAGAGAATACCATAATCATTAAATAGAGTAATAATGCTGTCCAAACAAATACTATTTTCAAAATACTGTTTGATTCTCAAAGATTCCAAGATACTGTTTGAATCTTTGAGAGTCAAACAGACCTTGCGGGGCCCCCGTTACGTGTGCCACACAGAGCAAGCTGGCAGGAGCAGCCTCCACCTGCTGGAGCCCAGCAGCGGACACTTAGGAAACCTCAAAGCTGGGTAGGGACCTGTGGCTCCTTTGCTGCCAAACATGAGAGATTCTGGAGGATTCGCCCTCCGTCCTCCAGGCCTGACGATCCTGTCCCATCTCTGTGCTCTTCTGCTGTGCTGTACACCACCCCAGCCTCCATCCCATTCTGTCTCACCTTGCATCTTTGCACCCACGCACCCTTGTCAACCCCTCGAGGGTGAAGAACCTCTCATCCATTTTTGTATCGGCCATGGCACCCTTCACTGGGTGTTTAGGGAACACTCAGAGGACATAGCACAGAACAGGTGTTTAGAGAACACTCAGAGGACATAACTGTCACTGTCCGGGACTAAAGCCATTCATCTCCCACCTTCCTTCAGAGGGGTAGTGTCACAATACTTATTGACACTTATTTATCCCATCAAGCACGACAGCCAACTTTACACGCTTGTGCCTCTCATTAGAGTGTGGGATCCTTGTGTATCTGACATTGGGAACGTTTCCATTGATATGTGTGGTGCCCCTATGTGCCCCTGGTCATCTGCTGGAGGGTGAGAGACCTGTCAAGCAGACACATCTCACACATGAGGAGGGCGATGGCAGATGGTTGAATCAAAGATGAACTTGACGCAGTCTGTAACTTGAAGAATTCACGATGCATTTGATACCCCGCCATCCTCACCACTATTGCACCGGGCATGTGCTCTCCACTCCTATGAGGTAACTAGAAAGGGTAGTGAATATGCACTTCTGGTTTCATGCTTCTCTAGCTTCCCCAGTAAAGTAGGACAAACAGCAGGAGAGCCTGGTAAACATACTCTCCCAGGAGTCTGAGGGCAAAGCCTAAACCTGCCACAGCCAAGCACGAAATGTCTTTGATGTCTCAATTTTTAGCTTAAAAAATTCATGTACATTTTGTATTCTAATTCATAACACATTCATGAGTATTTTAATGCAAGAAAATTTAAAATCACCTAAGTTTCATCTCATTTTAAATCTTCAAGTAAAATGGAAGCCCCGGGCTGGGTACCCTCCTGGAATTCACAAAGTCTGTTTCAAGAAGTATGGATCCGGTCCCAACCCCTCACTTCATGAATCAGGAAGCAGAGACAGTAAGTGATGTGGTGAAGACCACATGCCACCTACCACTAGCCTTCTCCAAATCCAGGGCCTTTCCTTTCCTTTCCTTTTTCCTTTCCTTTTTCCTTTCCTTTCCCTTTTCCTTTCCCTTTTCCTTTCCCTTTTCCTTTCCCTTCCTTTTTCCTTTCCCTTTTCCTTTCCCCTTTCCCCTTTCCTTTCCTTCCTTCCTTCCTTCCTTCCTTCCTTCCTTCCTTCCTTCCTTCCTTCCTTCCTTCCTTCCTTCCCGTGATATATGCTTCTGCAGAACTCACTACCTCAGGCGTTAGGCTCCAAGTGATGAGACATGGCCCTGCCTCACGTCACTCAGTACACAATGGCCATTACCAGAAACTTCTGCTTGGGGTGCCCTCCCTGAGTTGAAAGACTCCAACATTCTTCAAAAGAGAGATGACCAAAGCATACCTCTGATTGCTCTTCCAGAGCGTAAACTAGTCTATGACTGGGGAAAATGGAGAGAATAATGGGATCATTTTGCTAACATGAAACCAAGAGCCACAAACTCCTTGTGATGACCTAAAAAGTCCCCAATGACCTGGTCTTGCCCACCTCTCTAAGCTCACGCTGTGCCATGCCTCCTTTGCCCATGAGGCTCCCTTTGCCTAGCTTTGCATTCACTCCAAGCTGCTTCCCCACAATGGGCCTTTACACATGCAGACAGTCCCCTCTGCCTGGAAAGTTCTCCCTGCCTGCCCACATGCTTCCTATGGCCCACTTTTTCTCACCCTCTTATATGTTACCACCTTGGAGAGGCCATCTTAGTATACACAACCCCCCTTTTTCCTATCACAGCATCGTATCCATTTCCTTTATAACACCTTGTACAGGTTTGACCACAAAAGTGTGTTGTTGTTGACTGCAATGATGGCTTCAATTCTTCATCCTTCCTGTCTTCACATCTTTTGCAACAAGACTTTACAATTTCTCTCTCTAAAGAGATAGAGTCTACTTCCTCACCCCTTGGTTCTAGGCTGGCTTTGTAACTTGATTTGGCCAAGAACATGAGGTGGAAGACCGTGCACCAATTCTAAGCCTACACCTCAAGACTCTATGCATTTCGACTCACTCCCTTGCAATTCCACCATCAGCATCAATCATGCCAGATCATGTTGAGGCCAGGCTGTCGGAGGACAAGGGACATGAGAAGTAGAGAAGAATCATTCCACTCATCCCAGTTTAGGCTACCACAGACCATTCCTCCAGGGATGGGAATGAGCTCCAAGATCAACAGAGCCGCACAGATGACTCTAAACCCATGAGCAACAGACCCTGACTACTGGATGCCGCTCTAGTTTTGTGGTTGTCAGCAAAGGTGGTGATACAGTCGGCTTCATTATTTTTTGTCAGTCCTAGACTATAAGCTCTATGAGACAGAGACCATGCCCACTGTAGTCACCAATGCCTGGCACATAGTAGATACTCAGTAAAATGTGTCATATGAGTCTTTTTGCTGTGCTATGTCGGTTCCTGGCTCACTGACTTACTCTATCTCCTTTATGTTCTTACACAGGTGTATGAGGTGAGGCTAACTAACTTCAAGAATTACCTTGTATTCCTCCCGAGGTCAGAGTTTGATCTGTTCTCCCTTTCCACCCTGACCAAGGACTGACCTAGTCTATAGCTACACAGGACGGAAGCACCAGCATCTAGAAAATATCCAAAAGAAGGACACCTGGGTGGCTCAGGGTTGAGCATTTGCCTTTGTCTCAGGGCGTGATCGAGGTCCTGGGATCGAGTCGCACATCAGGCTCCCTGCATGGGGCCTGCTTCTCCCTCTGACTGTGTCTCTGCCTCTCTCTCTCTGTGTGTCTCTCATGAACAAATGAATAAAATCTTTAAAGAAAAATAAAAGAAAGAAAGAAAATATTCCAAAGAGTATTATCTTTGACCCTAATTCATCTTGAAAACATCCAGGTATTTACCATCTCTCTTCCCACGAATGAAGATACTAGCACCTTTTCTTTACCTACAATGAAGCTCCTCAGAAAGCTGTTTCCCCTTGACTGTTCTGGAGGCTTCTAGCCTGAGTCTTTCATCCCTACCAGCTACATATTCCCCTGGTAGGTATCGGGGGACAGGTAGAAAAAAGGGAAGGAGAGAGCTCACCAACCCTCCCTAACTGTGACCAAGAGCAAGCTCACCAGGGATGTCTTAGCAGGGCCTTTCCAGGAAGGTATAGCAGGGGAGTCCTGGGGACCCTGCAGCTAGTCCCTGGGAGGGATCTCAGACTCCTTTAGAAGCAGAGTCTAAATTGGGGAGGTGCGGTGAGGAGGTTCATTAAGCTATCTGAAACGGATGTACCTGAAAAAACTATGCCTTGTGGGAGTGGAGGGGCCTCTTCCTTCATTTTCCAAAGTAAACGGTGGCTCATGAAGCAGCCTGTTTTCTCTATGCTCCCGCTGAAAGAACCCCCTCAGCAACTGAGACAGGGGACCTCACCCCACCGCTGGCAACCCTGGTCCTTGGTGAGCTGGAGCTGGGGGGTTGGGGGACCTAGCTCTAGCCGCCCTGGCATTAGGAAGTCCACCGTGAAGGAGGTCGGGGGAGTATGGGATGAACCTGGCTACCCCACTACCCCACTAATGGGGAACAGCATCCTCTAGGCTCTGACCCTGCCTTTCTTTGCTCGCACCATCCCCCACCCCACCCCCCACAAGAGTCACAGATCTATTTAGGAGGTAGCTCTCTTTTGAGTTGGCTCCTACGGTCCAGCTTGCTCATGACCTGGGTGATATCCACTGTGTTGGCTGCTTCTCGAGCCTTGGCTTCTTCTTCCAGCTGCCTCAGGATGACGGGGCTCGGGCTGGAACGCAGGTGGCGCCGCATAAATGGGAGGCCAGAGCTGGAAGGAAGGACAGGGTGGCGTTTGGTGGAAAGGCAAGTGGCCCACCCAGCAGGGCCTCTGTACCACCTGATGGGAGACGGAGCTGCAGGACCAGAATCTGGGCTTTTTCCTCATTTTCCTAGTGAGCCCCAAGGGGGGCCCTCAGAGGCATGTTCCACCTTAGCTCTTTCTCCCCTGTTGTTGGATGGGCCAGATGAGTACCGGTGCCCTTGGATTTTACACTAGGCGCAAGGAGGGCTGCTGTGGTGGTGATAACCTGCCTTCTACAAGGGTTAGAAATCAATGTGTCAGCTGAACTTCCCGGTGGGCTCTTCCTGAAAGAAGGGGGCTTCAAGGGTTCTGGCCTCAGGGAGCAGTTGGAGCATTTGTTTTCAAAAGCCAGGGATCTGAGAAGGAGTAAAAGAGCTGGGCTCCCAAGAGGGAGAGGCTGGACCAGCAAAGCAAGGGGGAAGAGGCCTGGAGAGGGTCGGTGGGCTGGTGGTACTGTGCGTGCGCCGGATGAGTCAAGACCTCAAAAGAAGTCAAGCATGGGTTCCGGGGACCCAACTCTGTCTACCATGGTCTTGGGGACCAGGTGAAAGTTCTGGGTGTCTGAGTGATGCAGGTAATGGGGAGCTGCAATGCCTGGAAAACAAGCATTTCAGCAGCAAGGGCGGACTTAAAACCCAAGACCTCCCCAAATCTCTGGACTACAAAGGCCCAGAGGATTCTTGTATCTGCCCTAGGGAAGAAGATGAGGGCTCTCCTACCAGTAAGTCAGGCCTGAACTTGGGTCTCCCACCAGCCCTGCCAAGGGGAAGCATGGAGCTCGATGTAACTGGTTCCAGAGAAATTAAGTTTCATATGTCGTCTGACGCTCAAGGCCGTGGGACAAACTCACACCCACCGCAACCCCCACCTATGTACAGGCTGAGCTTCCCTCAGTACAGGAGCCTTCACACAGCTATTCTCACTCACAGGGACACCACCACACCACAAGTCCCCACTCCCAAGCCAAGTGGTGCACCGGGGGCCTCGTGCCACCCCAGCACCCAAGCCTCCGTCCCACCTCGGGGTGCTCCAGAAAAGATCCCAGCTGATTTCTCAGGTCTGCCCCAACTTACAAAATATCTGGAGAGAGAAATACGAGATTGTCCTCCCTTCCCCACTACTTTCTGGCAGAACTTCTGGAGAGATTACACTCCCTTCTGTGGCTCAAAGGAGAAGCTTTCAAGACCCCAGGGACACTGAACTCCCTTCCTTCCCCCGTAAACCTAGAAGAATAGCACCACAGAGACTTCCTTTCTCTCCTTTTTATAACAGGGCCATTATCCTCAAGAATGAAACCAAGTTGGGTTGTTTTTTCTAAGCTCCTTTGATAAAGGCTCCGGTCCAACCACCCCTCTTTTGAATTGAGTTGGAGTCGCTGGAAAAGAGCCCAGCGTGGGCTGAGCCGGCAAACGGGAACATTTACCAACCATGGGGGGACAGGCCACGCACTGGCTCTGGGAAAGCCTCTGCCAAAGTCCCGTGTCTTTGTTCAAGCTGTCACTAGGCTCCTCTTTTGAATCTTCAGTCCCTACAGAGTTTTCTCGCCCTCCCCCCCTCCCCAGAATGAGTTCAAACTGCCCCTCGGAACATTTCATCCTTTGCCCACGGGTTCTGCTAGATGGGATGACCCACCTCTCCAATGGGGAAGGCGCACACGAACCAGTTAACAGGGGATTCGCAAAAAGGGGGTCCCTAGCATCAACAAGGATGCTTAGAATGCCCCTGTTCATTTCCCCCATTAGTCTGCTGTTTTTCTGGGGGTGTAGTCGGCTATGCTCTCTAAGGTCTTGGGACTTTCCAAGGATCCGAGGACATGACTAACTTAATTCCCACAAATTAGTTTCAAGGTGGGCAAGCATAGCAATTAACAAACCAATGAGAGGCTTCCATTTGTGCAAGGGCAATGATGGGTTCTGATAATCAGAACTTTCTCGAACCAGTGTCAGGGAAACCAAATTTACTGGCAGTTAATTACTAAGGAAATCTTGCTAGAATGATTTCAGGGCATTCTGAAGCCAACAAGGCAATCATACCCTTAAGAAATCCTTCCCAGTCCCCAATATTTTCATCAAGCAAATATCTCAATCACGGCCATTTGGCTGAAAAAGACCCTCACTTCCCTGTAAACAAAACAGCAGGCAACCAGCAATTAGAGACCACTCTACTTGCCTTCTTTTGGTGGTTCCCTGAGGTTCAATAGCTTTCGCCAGCATTTCTTTATAGATTGGAGATTTTAAATAGCGAGCATAAGAATCCTAGGGGGAACAAGAGAAAAACAGTAATTAAGAGAGGGGAAGTGTCAAATCAAACGACTATGCTTGCTGTTTCCAAGCCCTCCCCGGGCAGTGAGATGACAAAGTTAAGGGAATCTGCATCCTGTGTGAAAGGCATTCAGACGTGTATCTAAAGCAACGGTCCTCAAGGGTGGTCCCCGGACCAGCGGCATCAATTGTACCTGGCAACTTGCTAGAAGCACATATCTTTGGGCCCACCCGATCCTATGAAATCAGAAATCCCCATGATGGGGCCATCGGAGTCTTAAAACAAGCCTCTCGCCGATTCTGACACACTTTGGCTGCACTGTGGTCTGTAACGCCCTGCGCTAACATCCACCTTCTGGGAGGTAAGCGTGAGATGACAGGCCACCTGTACCTTACCTCTCCCACCCAGTATCTCCTTCCAAGGAAAATAAGCAGCCATGAGCATGGAGCCCACTTCGAAGCCCACAAACACCCTCTTCTGCCCTGAATTTGGATATAAAAGCAAGAAAATAATAAAAATAATTTTTTTTAAAAGACCAAGAGTCCGATTTCTCTTGTATGGCTATTTCCTGGATGTTGGCAGATTCAGAGAAGTCACCTCATGAATGCTTGTCACTTCCAAACCAACTCAAAACTCTCGTTATAACAAACATGGGATGAGGCCCACAGCAACAAACCAGGGACTGAGTTTTTTAAATTTATCAAAATGGTACCATTTTAAAGACTAAGTGGTAGCAGTAAAAGTTATGAGGACCAGGACAGAGTCTGGGAGTGGAGATTATAGATCACCGCGTCATGTTGAGTTTATTGCCATAGGACACAGCCTATAGGGACACACGGTCCACTAAGTGTATGTGTTGTTCTTAAGTTATGCATGACTCCGTTTTGTTCTGGCTAGAATCTGGCTTCCATGAGTGTCTCTAAAAAGGCTGTATAAAACCACGTTTTTAAGAATCAAAATGTATGTCAAAATACCCAAAGGAAGACCATTATTAAGGAAGTGAGAGTCTTCTTGTAAGCTAAACAGAGAAACCCCACTGATGGAAAATAAGTGGAGAAAAGTGGTTCATCTTCATGAAAATTCTAAACTATTACATATTTTAGAAGCAAAGAAGGGGTGCCTGGGTGGCTCAGTAGGTTAGGCATCTGCCCTTGGCTCACGTTGTGATCTTGGGGTCCTAGGATGGAGCCCTGTGTTGGGCTCCCTCCATAGTGAGGAATCTGCTTCTCCCTCTTCCTCCTCTATCCCTCCCCCAGCTCACATTCTCTCTCTCTTAAATAAATAAAATCTTCAAAAAAGAAAAGCAAAGTAAAAATATCTCTTTATAACAGAATATACATAAAAGACTAAAAAAAAGAAATATAATTAAGGGAAGCTAATAAAAATTTGCCACTCAAACAAACCACCATCATATAAATGAAGGTTTCTTTTTTTTTTAAATGAAAGTTTCTAGAGATACTTTGCCATAAGAATAACTGTAGTAATGTGAAGTTAAAGCAAGTGAAGAAAGTCTTATTATTTTTTTAAGATTTATTTATTTACTTATGAGAGAGAGTCTATGTGTATGCATGTAAGCAGGGAGAAAGAGTCTCAAGCTGACACCCCACTGAGCAAGGAGCCCGATGGGGGGCTCATTCCCACTTCCCTAAGGTCATGACCTGACCCAAAATCAAGAGTCAGCTGCCCAATAGACTGAGCCATCCAGGTACCTCTGAAGAAAGTCTTCTTATGACATCAAGTAAGAAACAAACCTCTGTTAGGCCAACACCAAGCCCCAAATTCTAATTTCTTAAGAAAGTGACTAATATGTGTCTTGGGTTCTTTTTTTTTTTTTTAACAGTTTCCTAAAAATTCCCACCATGTTCACTTTTCATTAATAACCCAGGAAGGCAGGATGCCTGGGTGGCTCAACAGTTGAGGGTCTGCCTTCAGCTCAGGGCGTGATCCCAGGTCCTGGGATCAAGTCCCACATGGGGCTCCCTGCAGGGAGCCTGCTTCTCTCTCTCTCCCTGTGTCTCTGCCTGTGTGTCTCTCATGAATAAATAAATAAAATCTTTAAAAAAAAATAACCCAGGAAGGCCACCTGAATTCCCACAGGGTTTTACCATCATCACACCAAATCTGTCTCTTTCAGATACTAAACTCCTCCCCACCCCCAACCTGTGATACTTGCTTAGGGTCAGGGCCTCCAGAACTGCCACCATTCTATGCTAGAGACTAAGAGGTGCCTTCGGATGCAGGCGGACACAGTTTGGCTCTTGACTTCACCTCTGAGGAGACCCTGGATTATCTAGGCCTTGGAGAAGCAAGTCCTGCCCCATGGGTTGTCCTTGATACAAAGTTCCATGCTTTGCACCGTGACAGCACCTCCCAACCCCCCCCCCCAAATAACAGCTATTGTAGCAACACTCTCATCACCAGGGCATGAGCGCCTGTACCACTACTGCAGAGTGACAGCCCAAAAGGATGCACACAGCATCTGTAAGTGTCCCCCCATCCCCACCCAGCCACCAAGACTGGAGCCTCAGGGAGGTTCTGGGCCAGTGGATGGGTGGAAGAGACTGTTGACAACACTGTACCCCAACACCAGCAGAGCAGAAGCCACACAGCATCTCCCTTTGCTCCCATAGGTAAAGACTTTTCCAGGTACCTGAGAAGGGAAGGGCATCCTGGTCCCAGATCGCCATCCGCACAGACCCCACCTACCTTCTTCATGAGCATGTAGATGTGGGTTTGCGCGGCATCTAGCACGTAGCGGTGGGGATGCCTCAGCCCCTTGACTGTGATGTCCATGGTTTTGCCATCTATGTTTATCCACCGTCTCGCCCCTGGGGCCAAGAAGAGCCTGGAGCGGGGAGGAATATGTTAGCCAGTAGCTCAACCAAGTCAGCTAATGAAAGTTTACATCTGCTTGGGAGGGAGGGATCGACATGACTCGGGTCACCCAGAATGAAGCAGGTCACTGGGAATGACAGCAGTCCTTCTTAAGGGGACAGTAAAGAGTCTCAACAGGTTGTCAAGGGACATTTCTTAGAAGCAAGAAAATGTCAACACCAGTATTCAGCAGGTGCGTATTTAACTTCAGTGTTCCCAGCCCCTAGGAGAGCAAACAGTTGGTGCAGCAAGGCCAGCCACTGGAAGACAGAATCCAATTTCCTATTTAATGCCTTTTGCCTTATTGACGAGGACTTGGGGCTCACCTAGAACCAGGTTGAGACATCCTCAAAGAGGGGTTCCAGGGCCTCTGCTCTCCCTTGGCCCAGTCTAGAAGTATTTAAAATTCTTTTTTCAAAAAAAATAATAATAAAATAAAATAAAATTCTTTTTTCAAGTCATCTCTACACCCAACATGGGGTTCAAGCTCACTGCCCTGAGACCAGGAGTCCGATGCTCCGCTGAGCCAGCCAGGCTCTCTAGATGTATTTAAAAATGAATCTCGGGACACCTGGGTGGCTCAGTGATTGAGCGTCTTCCTTCAGCTCAGGTCATGATCCCAGGGTCCTGGGATAGAGTCCCACATCAGGCTCCCCACAGGGAGCCTGCTTCTCTCTCTCTGCCTATGTCTCTGCCTCTCTCTGTGTGTCTCATGAATAAATAAATAAAATCTTAAGAAAGAAAAGAAGAAAGGGAAGGGAAGGGAAGGGAAGGGAAGGGAAGGGAAGGGAAGGGAAGGGAAGGGAAGGAAGGGAAGGAAGGAAGGAAAGGAAGGAAAGGAAAGGAAAGGAAAGGAAAGGAAAGGAAAGGAAAGGAAAGGAAAGGAAAGGAAAGGAAAGGAAAGGAAAGGAAAGGAAAGGAATCTCCTATGCTGAGTCAGGAGGCAGCCACAGTCCCAGCACCCAGAGGGCGGATGGCCCCAATGAGAACCCAAACTCAGCCACATGGCTCTCCAGCATTTCCCGTTCTGACTTGTTTCAGAGTTAGAAATCCATGAATCTAGCCACACCCTGAAGCTAGACATCAAAATTTTGGAATTTAGACTAAGACACTGTAATAGAGGAGCCTAGGGAAAAAGGAAGTTAGCTGTTAGAAAGGTGGAGGCAGCAAGGTTTTTTACAGCTGATTTTTGGAGTTAGGAGTTGTGTGTCATGGTGTGTGAGTCGGTCAGGTACCACTGTTCTGAGCAAGGACGTCAGGGGACCTTCCTGGAAGGAGAATCCCACCCGTACCCCCACTTCTCTCCATGTGCACAGTCCCCCCTGTGGGAGGAGGTGGGGACATTTCTGAGAAAGTGCAAGATGCCCCCAAGTATGAGGCTGTCAGCGTTACTGGAGCCTTTCGGAAAGTTGCAGTAGCCCATTCTGAGCCTGTCGGAAGGACACCAGACATCCAAAGGGGCAAGTACTCAGGGCAGAGGGGCCATCTGGCCTGCTGCCCCGACTGAAGCTACAGTCTGGTGGCCAGCGGGGGCCGGTTCCAGCCCAGCACACATCTCGGCACACCGCTTAGGCTCTGAAAACCACTGCTACGTGTATATGAACTGAACATATACTGGCACTCAGAGCCCAAGGCTGGTGTCCACTACGACCAGGGCAGAGAGAAGGACTGGCAGGGAGGCCCGCCCAGCTCAGCGGGGGGGGGGAGGGGGGCACACATCTCAACAGCTCTGCAGCTCAGCAGGCCCAGGTCTCGGCCCACCTCCTCTTCCTCTCCAGAAGAGGCAGGCCTGGCCCTCTGAACTAGAACCCTGGGTTCTTGGGTAACATGGAGGGCAATTTTGGGGAGAAGCAGGCCTGGAGCAGAACAGACTCACTGCTGCGCTGAGCTAGCAGGGCCCAGAGCCATTACATGCAAAAGAAGAGATGAGCCCACATTTGTACTCCAAGCTGGGGGCCCCATCCCAGAGCCTTGGGGACATTCCCTGACCTCACGGTCTTCACTTCTCCAAGCTGGCAGAGGATAGGAGGCTTTCCTCTTCCACCTGTTGTCTCTCTCCTCTCTCTCAAACCCGCACACACGAGCACACACACCCCTCCCAGGACATCTAAGGGGATTTAGTCAAAAACAAAGCAGTGCATTATGACTCTGGGCAGCTTGCTCTAACTCCTGAGCACATTCCCCTGGGAACGGGGCAGGGACACCACGCACCTCCCCAGCCTTTCTCCCGAGGAAGCCCCAAGCCTCAGCGGGGATGCATCTATCTATAGCACTGGCAGCTGCAGAGCCTGAGCCCACACCAGGAATGTGGTCCCTCCCCTTCCATCCGAGGTGATGGGGTGGGGCCAGCGGGGGGGGGGGGGGCTCCCCCACAGGGAGGCTCTCCCAACAATCTGGCTAGTCCTCACTTGTAAATCTCCTCTGCTTTCTCCTTGACCTTGGACTGATCTCCGTACTTCAGATCTTCACAGGCTTCCCAGAATCCCAGATTCTCTCCTGCACGGGGAGCAGGGGTCCACGCAGACGAAAGCCAGGCAGGAACCAAGGTGGGAGAAGAAAAGAGGAAAGAAGAGAGATGGGTCAGCAGGGGCGGATTCAGTCCCCATGCCCCAAGGAGCATCTCCCCTCTGCAGAACACGCCCAGGCCATGCTGGACAAAACACCCCTCGAGAGGAGGAGCCGAGTCTTGCTTCCAGAGCCTAGAAGAACATTGTTCACCTGCCACTGCCCCACACGTGGTCTCTGAAATGAACCAGCCTAGTGCCCACCTCGTTTGCAGCCACGTGGGCCTCTCCTGGGGTCAGAGGTCCTATCAACGCCCTAGGACTGTCCTGGAATGTGACTGTAGCAAACACTGCTTGAACAAGCTAGCATAGGATAGGCTTGTACCCACGTCCTGCTTGCTCCCCCACAGGCTTTCTTCATAAAGCCCCCGTTCACCTCGCTCATGCTCAGCAGCTGCACATGACTTCTGCTTCCTTTGTGTGTAGAGACCCCCTCTTTCACAGCCCCCCGCGTGGCATATTCCAGCCAAAGGTCCTTACAGAGCGGCTGCTCTAGCAATGATGGACTCTCAGGGAAGGCCTGGCCACTGGGGGACCCAGAGGAGGCTCACCTGAGCCACGTAGACTCGGCTCCTCTGGGCCCGGAAGGAAAGCCAGTCTCCTCTCGAGCCTTCACTTCCCCATGGCACCCACAAGGAGTGCAAGTACTTGGGTCCAAGCAACCCAGGTGATCATCTGTGCTTGAGAAAATACAGATGATCACAGCAGTGGGGCAGCAAGTGGCTGTGTGTGCACGTGTGCTTGTGTGTGCATATTACATATGGGTGTGCATGTGGGTAGGTGTGTGTTGTATGTGTGTGCACGTGCATGTGTGTAAATCACAGTATGCTGTGGGGTGGGGAAAGAGACAGGAGCTCCCCCTCCTCTCCATTCACACCATTTTCTGGAAAGTTCCCAGGTGCATCGGTATGGAAAAAGCAGCATAATTCTAAAATGTTGATGTCTGTCCCATAACTCTATAGCGATCCTTCCTCTTCAACATGAATGTCAGGGTGCTCTTAGGATTGAGATCACAGGCAGGAGTGGACAAGCCAGTGATGCTTTTAAGTGACAGCCAATCACTCTCACAACAAGTGCAATGGAGACTGCCTTACTCATGGCAAAAAAAAAAAAGCAAATGCTTAAGGTTAAAATTAAATGAGCAATTATTTACCATAGCCAAAGGTGGAAGCAAAAATGTCCATCAGCAGATGAATGGATAGCCAAAACCTGGCATCTCCATACAAAAGGATATGATTCAGCCTTACAAAGGAATAAAATTCTAACATAGGTTACAATAGGGATGACCCTAGAAGACATTAGTGAAATGAGTGAAATAAGCCCGTCCAAAAGGACAAAAAAGAAGTATGATTCCACTTACATGAGTACCTAAAAATAGAGTAATTCATAGACACAGAAAGTAGAACAGTGGTCACCAGGAGCTGGGGGGACAGCGAATGGGGAGCTACTGTTTCACGGGGACAGAGTTTCAGTTGGAGAAAATAAACAGTTCTGGAGGTAGATGGTGGTGATGGGTACACCACAACGTGAATGTACGGAACGCCACTGAACCATACACTTAAAAACAGTTAGAATGATAAATTTTATGTGATGAATATTTTATTACCATAAAAAATTAAGTGAGCACATGAAAAACGTGTGTATGAGTGTGCATCGCAGCATTATTCACAACAGCCAGAAACTCTGAACAACCCAAAGGGTTGAATGGATAAACGAAAGGTGGCCTCTCCATACTATGGAATATTATTTCGTCATAAAAAGGAATGAAGGACCATTAAATAATGTAACAGGAATGAACCCTGAAAACACTATGTTGTGTGAAAGAAGACAAAAAGCCACATAAGGTATGATCCCATTTATATGAAATGTCCACAAGAGGCATATCCATGAAGATAGACAGGAAATTCGAGGTCACCTAAATGGTGGGGAAGGGGGAAGAAGGGAGGGGGCAGAGGAAGAGAGAGGAATGGGAATGGCTTTTAACGGGTTCGGGGTTTCTTTGTGAGGTGGTAAAAATGTCCTACAAATAAATAGTGATGATAGTTGTGCAACTTTGTGACTATACTAAAAACCACTGAACTGGGGACCCCCGGGTGGCTCAGTGTTTTGAGCGTCTGCCTTCAGCCCAGGGTGTGATCCTGGGGTCCTGGGATTGAGCCCCACATCTAGCTCCCTACAGGCAGCCTACTTCTCCCTCTGCTATGTCTCTGCTTCTCTCTGTGTGTCTCGTAAATATATAAATAAAACCTTTTTAAAAAATAAATAAAAACCCACTGAACTGTACACTCTAAAAGGATGATGGCACGTGAATTACATGGTACGCGTATTTATGGTATGCGAAGTAGATCCCGATTTCTTAAAAACGTGATTTAAATGAGAAAACTCACGATTCATCTCCCCTGTTTACCCCTGAAGCCTCGGGAATCTCTTGAGGAGATCACCAGAAGTGCTATTTTAATAACACAAGGAAATCTTTCCAACAGATTCTCACTATTACCAAGTAAGGGTGGGAAAGCTCAGGGTGCAGTTTGCCACGCTGCCGCTAGATGGCACTCTATCCTCTTATTCGCCAGTTGCTTGGGGTAGGGTGGAGGGGGGCAGCTAAAAGCCCTTGCCTTTCCCATCATCTATTCTGGGTTTTATTTTATCACGGCAATTAGGCTTGATTAGAGAGAAGGATTGTCAGGAATCCATATTGTAAGTGCTGCATCAGGCAGTCAAGCAGGCTAATGGCATGTCCCCTGGGATTAGTTTCAGGCACAACCCCATAAACAAATGGGTCCTGGGAGCAAGTGTCTGAGAATGGAGGTTCAAATAGGATGCTCTGCAGGGCCAGGGATCCAGTAAGCAAATGAACGGATCCCATAAAAGCACATCTTTCAGCAAAGGCTGGAGAAGCCCAACTGAAGGCTCGGCCTATTGAAATCGATCCTAATCTGACCTTTAATTTTCCCAGATGTTTTCTCAGGGGCAGTGTATTTAAGAAGTTACAAGTGCCTCCCTGCCATGCTGAGCCACCAGGAGATGGAGTATAAAACAGGGCCCCGCCTGTCCCGCCTCTGATGCCCCAAAGGAAGCAGAGCGGGAGCTGAGACGGTGGTTCTCCAGCGCAGCCACATATTAGAATCACCTGGGGAGTTTTCAAACCTGCCGAGCTCCCACCCCAAACCAATAAAAAAGGAGCATCTGGAGATGGGATCTGGGTGGATGTGTTTTTAAAATACCCCCAGGTGACTCAAATGCACAGCCTGGTCAGAGAAGCAGTGAGCTGAAGGAAACCAGGCTGCCAGACAGAGAAAGTTTGCTTTTTGGCTTTCCTTCTGGCCGGGGGTTCCCTGAGAGCTGTACTCAGCTGCAGGGGATGCAGGACTCTTGGACTGGCGACCCCAGAATCAGCGTGAGAAAGTGAGAAGAGCCAGAGGGGACAAAGCCCTCGAAGATGTGGGTAACGCTACGTGGATTTTGTCAGCAGATGCAGTCCCCTGGCCCACGCCATCCCCCAACTATGGGGCCTCTACTGAGAAATCCTCGAAACCCTATGCCGGACACTTGCAGGGGTGTTTCTAAAAGTAAAAATTGTATTTAAAAAAAATCAAAGACCCACCACTGAATTCTTTCTTGAGAAAGTACTGAAAGCTCTGTCGGCCCTTGGGGTCTCGGATCAATTCGCTGAAGTTGAAAGCCCATCGTTCCACCCGCATCTTGGTTGGGACTTCCACCCTGCAAGGATGATGATTTATGAATGCACCAGACACTCAATGAAAGGGAGGGGCCCCCACCAAGCTCAGGAGTCCCACGGCCCGGGGCTCAACCCAATCCTCCCCCACCCCAATCCCTGCACAAATGAACAATCCAAGTAATCACTTGCTAGGAAAATGCAGCCTCAGGTAAGTCCCCTGGGCTCATCTGGAAAACTGGTACCCTGGAGGTGAGAAGGATGCCCACAGCAAACAGCCTCACACTTGGGCCCACTCCTTTCTACTTCAGGGCAAAGGAACACAGATGCCGCCTCCAAGGCCTGTGGAGGCTGGCCAGCGGAGGGTCGGTTGCCACATCAGACCAGAAGAGGATTCCAGAGCAGCACTGGTGATGGGTGTTCTGGCCACTGCCACCCTGTCCCATGTCCCTTCACCACGGGACTACATGGGCATCTAGTAGGAGCCAATGATTTGTCCTGTACCTGCCCTCAGGCCCCAAACCCCAGGCAGACTCTACTGTCACCGATACACCCTCTCCCAGGGCCTCCTCCAAGATGCAAGTCCCCAGCACTTCCACGTTTGGAAAGGTCTCACTGCTCCCAGGTAGGACATTTTAGCACAGCTGGCTGAGGTCTAACATTCCAGAAAATGAGAAAAAGAGTTGGCTTTTCTCCTATTCCTTATGAAATTCTCCAGAACCCAACAGAGCCCCTTGGAAACACAGGTTTCCAAGTCCACGACACCACACCTCCCACTAAGGTGGCAGCTAGAGCCGGGACCGGCTATAATTCATGCTCATGGGATCTAAAGGCAGCCAAGCAAGTTCGTGCCTTCTATAGCAACGTGAAAACAGTACAAATACTGTACTAACATGAAGAGCCACCAGTCTGTCACCGCCTGTGAGGCACTGTGTTTTACACACATCACTTGGTCTTCAAGAGACCACTGTGAGCTGCCCATTGTCATCCCCATGTATTGCTGAGAAGACCAAGGCTCACATAAGAAGCAGATCCAAAAAACAAACAAACAAGCAAAAATAGTGGTGTGCAAACCTCAGCATGCGTCAGAATCACCGGGAAGGGTCATAATAACACAGACTGCTGGGTGCTATCCCTTGAGTTTCTGGTTCACAGGGATATGTGGGGCCCAGAACCTGCATTTCGTTAGGAATTTTTACTTTTGCATATGAATTAGGTCTTTTAATGTATTTACTGGCAGGGAAAAATATTTCATCTAAACTAGATTTTCTGTGACTTGGTGTAAATGTGTTTCCTATTTTTTTTTGTCTTTAATGAGGATACATCCCGTCTCATTAACACTTGTCAAATTTATTCTCAGTAATGGAAAATTATATACAGTAAAGAACTTTAAAAAAAAAAAAAAACAAGCTCCCTGATGATGCTGCAGCTACTGGTCCAGGGGGCCATACTGGGAGCCAACGCTCTAAACCAGTGTTGTGAGTCCCGGCTCTTCATTAAAGTCAATGTGAGCTTGTGGTTTATGTATACAATGGAATATTCCTCAGCCATTAGAAATGACAAATACCCACCATTTGCTTCAACGTGGATGGAACTGGAGGGTATTATGCTGAGTGAAGTAAATCAATCGGCGAAGGACAAACATTATATGTTCTCATTCATTTGGGGAATATAAAAAATAGTGAAAGGGAATAGAAGGGAAGGGAGAAGAAATGGGTAGGAAATATCAGAAAGGGAGACAGAACATGAAGACTCCTAACTCTGGGAAACGAACTAGGGGTAGTGGAAGGGGAGGAGGGCGGGGGGTGGGGGTGAATGGGTGACGGGCACTGAGGGGGACACTTGACGGGATGAGCACTGGGTGTTATTCTGTATGTTGGCAAAATGGAACACCAATAAAAAATAAATTTATTATTAAAAAAAATAAAAATAAAAAATAACTAAAAAAATAAAAACCATTGGTGAGGATTAGAAGGGAGCCCGGGCCAAATAAGAGGCTTTGGGGGTGAGGGCTGGATGTTGGTTTTTGTTTGTCTGTTGTTTTTAAGCCTCCCAGGTGATTTGAATACGGCTTGAAGATCTAAACCATTCAGAACAAGGCTTCCTCTGTTCAGTGGGGCCTCCATTCGGCATCGCCCCTCTAGAACCCTCTGATGGATGGCTCCTACACAAAACATCGCCCCTGTTCTTTTCCCCAGCACATCTCTGCCTCAAGCTTCAATACCGTATTCTCCATTTCATTTAAAATTCTGCAGCTAACCGCGTCTCCATCCCAAGCTCTCCCAGGAAAACCCTTTCCCTGGCCAGGCAGCCCTGTCTTCTCCAGAGAGAGCTGAATACTGCACATCCTCGCACACAAGGCGATTCCGGTCACTTCTCTTCCCTGACACACTGGGAACTGGAACACCCTAATAACTAGAGCTCCCAGCGTGGGAGGGAGGCCTCTCCGGAAGGTGGCTCTAGAATCTTGGGCTCTGCGGGTGACACTAGTAGACAGGTGACCCCACACTCACACGAGCACCCTCCTTAACCCATCAGCTGCTCTCAGCAGGCCAAGAGGTGGAAGGGTTCCCCAAGCTACGGGGAAGCTCTGCTTGTTTACCTGGCTGGATCTGTGCTACCCACATGTTCCTCGTGCCTTACGTGGTAATGACCTTGGTGGGGACCTGAACTGTGATATTCACCTGATGCTCTCAATCCTTCACATCACCCCACCTGTCTTACCCACGCTGACCAGCCACTTCCTTCCTCCCCTCCTGCCCTATCTTTCCCTCTGATGTGACTATTACACCTTCTCTTCTTCCTTCATCAGCTTATGCTTCTCCTTCTGCATTTCTACCTTTTTCCCTCCTGCAAACAACAGGCTTACATAGGCCCAGTCAGGAGCCACGACTCTTCATAATCCACAAACAGAGCAAAGGAGTGAGTGGTATAATTGCCAAGGCAGGTGTAGGGCCCTGGCCTCCAGGAACTTATTTTTTCTCTAATTAGATATCAAAACTGCAAAGCCATAAAGATGATTGTTTTCTGTTCAAAAACAATATATTACTCGTAGATAGTTACCAGCTGACCCAGAATTTCTACCCCTAGGTACATGCCTAAGAGAAATGAAAACATACGTCCACACAAAGATCTGTACACAAATGTTCGCAGCAGCATTGTTCATAATAGCTAAAGGACAGAGACGATGTCCACCAACTGATGAATGGATCTTAAAAAAAAAAAGTGTATCTCCCTACAGTGACTCTCACTCACACATTTATAAGGATGGAGTACTAGTACACTGCACCATACAGATATACTCTGAAAGCATTATTTTCAGTAAAAAAAAAAAAAGCTAATCACAAAAGACCACATAGTTTATCATTCCATTTATGTGAAATGTCCAAACTCATCAAATGCACAGAAACAGAACGTAGTTTTATGGTTGCCTAGGGCTGAAGGGGTTTTGGGGAAGTGGGGGGGGGTTCTTATTTGGGTGATGAAAATGTTTTAAAATTAACTGTGGTAATCGTGGCACGACTCCAGGAATATAGTAGAAACCAACGAGTTGCACACTTCCAATTGGATGAATTGTATGGCACTTGAATTATAACTCAAAAGGCTATTTAAAAAAAAACCACCAATATATCAAATACATACAATTTAGCGTTTAAGTCCCAGAACTGGGTGTCATCTGTTATCCAAGGATTGCTAGGGAGGCAGCCTGACATGATGGCGTCATTGGACAAAAACTGCTCGCTGTATTTGACAATCCTGAAAAGCAAATGGAAAATGATTTCCTAGAAGTTCAACACCCAAGAGGCGAAATCAATACTCAGGTTGATTGACCAGCCTGTCCTCCTGTCTCCTTATCGATTTAGTTGCATACTTATTACTGCCTTCTTAGAAACATGCTCTAATAGCCTTCGGGATTGGCAGGTATTTGACAGGATCTGTCCCTGATCTACTCTTGAGATGAAACATCGTCTTCCCGTCCAATCCCTTTGCAATTTCTCTACTGTACTGAAGTCATTAAAATAAGGCCTCTTGATATTTTATCATGAGTCTTCAAAGTTCAAAGCCGGTCAGTTTGCATGTGTTCAAACCAGTGTCCTAGTGGTGCCATCTTGGAAGCATGAGGTTGCCATGGTCTCTCTGAGATTCTGTTGCCACATCACGTTCCCCACTTGGTCAGGATGATGCCTAAGTTTGGGAAGCTAGATTCATCACTCAGAGCCTATGGTCTCACTGAGGTGTGAATCCCACATTCACAAATATGAGCAAGAGCTAATTTCTTCTATGTGAGTTAGACCTGCCTAGGCAGCACATTCCTGGGGCACGGGCAGTGTGGAAACGCCTGCTGTGCCTCTGGCCCTTGGGTGGGGGGACTGCACCCACGGTATACACATGAGACACCTGCTGTGACGTCTGCCCACAGCCAGGAGATTTTGATAGAACAGAACCCATGCCCTGGAGATATCCCAGAGCATTAGGTTTACAGTTCTGTGCAAAACTCAGGCCCCTTGGCTTCATTTCTCCCAAGACCCTCTCAATTCTCAGCAAGGCCTTTAGAGTGGGGCAACAGAAGGGAAGAAAAAAGAAAACTGGCCCACAAGTCCTAACACCAGTGATGTTAAATCCTCGTAATGAGTCCCTAAAACAAACAGAAATTGGAGAGTGGGTGTCAGAAGTATCCAACAGCCTTTGTGTCTCCTTCCATGTGCTTTCTGTTTGGTTTCATTAAAGTGGGTTTCTGGTACATCACAGTAGAGGGTTTTTACTTTCTCCTAAAACAATGATTATTGTTACGACCCAAAGTGAGTGACTACTGAGTAAACCGGTACACTCTCATCTGTGACGGATGGAGCTCAGCAGCTGCAGACAGGAGCTGTGGAAATCTGCGGGTGGGGTCAGGGCACATTTTCTCAGGCAGGTGGTATGTATACAAAGCAGGGATTTGGGAAGATGTAAGAAGATATGTGAAGGGTTTGTTTGTTTTTTTCTATAAGAGCCTGACCCCTCGCCACATTGGAAGAAAGGCACTGGACAAAATAAAACATCTTCCATCTTGATTGGTACCACTGCTTGGGTCTCGCAAAGTCAAAATCAATCATTAGCCATGTTGTGCCTCTCCAGAAAGAAGTCAAGTCCATTTTCATGTATGCAGGAAAATCTTTGAGTTAGCAAGGTGGTCCTAAACCCTCTGGGTGGCACTACACCCTTTTGTATCTCCCCAATAATGTCCTCTGGGGGACTGGCTCAAGGTCCCCTTCTGGATGTTCCATAAGTCAAATGTAAATTTCTGATTTATCGTAAGTAGATTTTTTTTTCGTAAGTAGATTTTAAATCAGAGATTAACAACAGACATTTAAGTAGACATTGAACCAGTAAACATAACTCACATATCTCTAATAAATTTGAGTGGGTAGCGACAGGAATACAGGCTAGTGTGGATCCCCCAGAGGGTCCAGTCTATGAACTTTGAATTCTGCCCACCTTCTCCATCCACACAGTAGTGGCTTCCAAGAACAATGAGTCTTGTATAAAACCTGACCCAACCCTAACTTGGCTAACCCAAGATGAGCCCTGGACACACGAAGACTGAGAGTTAGGAACATAATCCTGAGAAGACCGGTTTTGTCCCTCAGAGTTCCTTAGGATAGGTGAGCTCATGACCGCTCAAGTTCTCCTTAAAGCAGAAAGTTCTCCTCTTGCCCACCTCGTGCTCCAACCTCAGCAAGACCAACAAATTAGGGACCTACCCTCCAAGGGACACAGAAGACTTCACCGTGGACCTCATTAAGGCCTGTTGGTAATACATGATCTGGAAGAGACACAGTGGTTAGAGGATGCCCAATTTCCCCACCCTTGAGTGTCACTAGCACTGGCACTCACACATGGCCCCCAGAACCAGAAGCCACTTATCTGCCCTTCCATCCCCTTAAGCCACTCATGGCAGTACTAACAGGGCAGAGATCCACAGTAGAGGGGTGACCCCGAACTCTAAATTAGGAGCCTCCACAGCCCATCATGTATCAGTTCAGGAAGAGGTACCAATTGGATAAACAAAAGGTTCTAAGGAGCATTAAATCGAGATGTGGGGACGGATGCTTGGCTTTTCCCTCAGATGCCTCTGGCTGACACAGCAGGTCTAACCTCAATAGCCAACACCTTCAAGAGCTCTGTCTTGCACCCTGGACACAAAATTTGCCAAAATAAGTAGTATGCCTCTTCAGAGAGATTCTAAACTTGCCCCATAATTGTTGGAGGAGGGGCTGGGGTGGGCAAGCAGACCCTGTGGCATCCACCCCACATCCCTCAGATCTGGGCTCTTCTGATGGTGTTTCATATCCTGAGCCTCAGCACTGATCCATTTAGATCTTACAAAAGATGCTTTGTCATTCTGCGCCGTCCATTAATCCAGAAATAATTGTTTGAACATTACACGTGGTTTTTCATTTCACTACTGAGGGCAGAGCATAAAGCCAAAGTACATATAATTTGTTAGAGGACTGAAAATCAAACTTCCCTGGGACTAGGAAACTAATTACCTCTTTTCTGACAGCAGTGATTGTTTGTTTCTGTAAAAACAAAGAAGCAAAAACCATTAAACAGATGCCATTAATTCATTATGGTTCAAATACCCATTTGAGAAATAAAAATCCTTGCCCATGAAAAAAATGGTTTCACCTTTTCTTACTTAAAAGACAGGATTTCCCCATGACCACTGCCTTCACCCTGTTCTAGACAACCACTGGAGAATTAGTTCGACCAAGGCTCTGATGAGGGAACGCATATGATTTACTACTATAACTGCATGCTGTTCTCCCAAAAGCCAAGATGAATTCAAGACTATGTTTGGGATTGGTCCCAATCTACCACAGTGCCTACCCTAAATGGAATGAGACATAAATATGGGGAAACAAGTATGCAGTTGGAATGTTTGTTTCTTTTCTTCCAGGAGAGATCCATTCCTCAGGCATTCATAACAACTTGACCAATACAAGTGTTGGGGGGAGGAGGCAACCACATTGCCAAATATAAAGCACACAATTGAAAAACTTGAGACCTGCAACCACTGAAAGCTAAGTCCCAGAGTGGAGCTGTTTTGATGTAGATCATATCAGGTGGGCCTCATCCTCTTGTTGAAGCAGCCAAAGCAGATTCGTGCCTGGAGTGAGCTGTAGGGCATCCTCTCTCTGGATTTTTGTGCGATATAGCAGAGAAAGGCTGGCTCCCAAGAGAGACTCCATGTATAGGCTCTTAGAACCTCCTAGATACCACTCAGACCTGCCTACTCTTAAATCCCTTTATAATCGGACATGCGTCCTTAGCATCACTTCTCTGCTTCATGCAACTCCTGGAAGTTGGGCACAGTTGGTGATGCCAGTCTCGGTTTTTTTAGGTTTGGTTGTGTCCAGGGGCTACTTGGTGCTGACTGTTACACTTTAAATTGATCATCTTCATTCCTGGCTTCCAGAATCCAAGCAGCTTAACACAACCAGATCTTCGCTGGGAATAGAATCAGAAGCCCGAGGAGGACACGATTTCCCTTAGCCAGTTAGCAAAGTTAAGTATTGGCCTATGAGCCCACTGACAAGGAATAGAGGAGGGTCTAATCTGGAATGTCACATACGTATCTCTCCTTTCTAATCCATGCAGGGTTTCATTTTGCTTTATTAGATTGCTTTTATGTAACTGCTTTTCACAGGAAGTCCTTTTTCCTGGGTGGGGGAGTAGGGAAAGTTATCTCAGAAAACTAAAGGCGGGGCTCTCTGTTTTGGATTCACACACACCCTGACTTCTTCCTGCATAGCCCTTACCACAACTGTGATTAAATATTTGTGTCATTTTTTTTCATATAGGTATCACCCACCAGGCACCACTAAGAGCAGGGCCACCATGCCTGCCTCTAACATAATTTCTGGTGCAGAGTAGATGCTCAAAAAAAAAAAAATCAGATAAATGACAACTGCCATGTGCTTGGAGGCCTAGAAAAATGGAGATTAATCTAAGCTTAGTAGAATTGAACTTTTTCCACCTAAAAAGTTGAAGACACTACCACAATGATCCATATTTTGGATCCAAAATATGGATCATTGCTGATTATCTGTTCCCATTGTCTTTTAACACAAGACACTGTTTTAGAAGACATATTTCAGGAAAAAAAGGACCCAGGGGCCAGAGTGGCTTTGCACTCAAATCTAATATATTCAGACTCTCTTGTTAGAATGTGCTAAAGTGGATTAAGAATCCTATCTACTGGTCTTCCCCCTCTGTTCAAAGCAGAAGCCGTGTTATTCTGTATGTTGGCAAATTGAACACCAATAAAAAATAAATTTATTATTTAAAAAAAAAAGCAGAAGCCGGATCTTTGCCTAGAACAGTAATCACTTAACAATTAGTGCAAAGCAATTTACACCTCTCTGACGCCTTACAAAGTTTAAGGGAGGGAGGTTTTATTATTCTGATTTTCAGCTGAGGATACTGAGTTGCTGAGATGTTACAGGCGACTTTCTCAATACCTCCTGGCCAATAACGGGTTTAGCCAGGATTTAAACCTAGATCTTCCCTTCACAAAGCTGAGGAGTGATCCATGAGACTCAGAAAACAGCCTACTCTTCACCAGTTTCCTCTTGACCTTGAAGCCACGGGGGCTGCACCACAGAATGACTCTGTCCAGCCATTTCATTGAAAATTAAAACAAAAAGACAGCTAAAGCCCTGATCGCAAGATGAAACAGAAAGACAGGAAACTCTTTAATCAACACTAATGACAGGAAAACAAACTCCCAGCTCTCAGAGAAACAAGATCTGGGGCACAGTGACTCTAATAATACTGTTTTATATACTTGACAGTTGTTGAAGAGAATAGATCTTAGATGCCATCACCACATACTCAAAAAAAAAAAAAAACAATTATGTGACAGGATGGACGTGTTGCCCAACCTTATTGTGGTAATCATTTTGCAATATATATAGTTTTAATCATTGCATCGTACCCCTTAAATTTACAGATGTTATATGGCAACAATAAAGCTAAGGAAGAAAAAACACTAATGATGGTAAAGATCACAATCATACCAGGCCTGTGTTCAACCGCCAGAGTCATAAACAAGGGCCTGGGGCACAAGATCAAACTTCCTGAGAGCAGGGGGCTCCTGAGAAGATCAACAGAGATTAAATGAGCCAGATTCTCAGACTGCCTGATGTTCTCTGGGCTCCGTGGGGAGCTGGCCCTGCAAGTCAACCATAATAACATACACACACTCCCATCTCTCCTCTACCTGGCATGGTCTGCCTTTTAGCTCTAATATGTTTCTGGGGCCATTATCTCATTATTTCATATTTTAATTCACTTCATTTGATTGCATTACCCCGTTAGGGCTTCTGCATTGGTGGTGCGGTTCACTGACTGTTCTCTGATTCCTGCGATTACCAGCCACCCTCTGGGAATCGAAGGAGTGGGTCTGGTTGAGTCAGAGGCTTCCCCGCCCTTACCTTGGATTTCCCACATGCATTTTACTGGTTATTTCTAGCTTTAAAAATAGCTTTCCATGGGATCAGCTTCCTCTAGATGGACATACAGGGTTATCTCTGTCCTGTTAAGGGAGTGCGGACATTGGGATGGTGCAGAAGAGGGTCTTGGACTTTTCTAGAAGACAGGGAGAGAATGTGATTGGGGAAGGGAGGTAAGGCTTAGGAAAGAGCATGGACTTTCAGACTGGGACCCAGGTCAAATTCCTGGTTCTGTCACTTATCGGCTCTCTGACTCTGGATGAGTTTTGCAAATTTTCAAAGCCTCTTTCCTTATTTGTAAATGGCGATAGCAAAGGGGGAGGGCATTAAATGAGATAACACATAGAGGTGACTAGCATAGAGCAAGGGCTCAACCTACAGTGGCTACTGAATAGGGTTCACACACTATTGCTGAGAGTAGGCACAGTGGGGTGTTAACCATAATTATAAAATAAAACACAGGATGCCTATGCAATATTTGGGACATACTTTAATACCAAAGAAGTTATTTGATGTTTACCTGAAATTCAAATTCAGCTAAGAAGCCAGTATTTGTATTTGCTAAATCTCATAAACCTGTCCATGTTATGATTACTCAGCCAAAGGCCATAAAACTAAATATTCAAGTGAAGTTATTAACCGCACACACACATACATACATACACATGCACACAAGCATGTACATGTGCATGCACGCACATTTCTAAGCAATTCAAAGAAAACCACTTCATGACAGCATAAGAAATAAACATTTTTTTTACCAGTAATCCATGCACAAAACCCCTTACTTTCTCAACAGTTGGCCCTCCTGGAGGGAATTCACTTTTTTATTCCTCATCCAAGTGACACACTTTGCTACGGTAAGATACTCTGCCTAAGGAAGCTTCGAATGCTACACATTCTTGGAATTCTAACTTGTTCTTTTTCTCTTCTGGAGTGACCCAAATAGGGACACATCTAGAGCCCGTTTACACAGCTCTATGGCTGGCTTGTAGGCCTCAAACCCCGGGTGTGGCCTCCAGACAGCTGTCACAGGGCAGGAGGAGTCAGTCAGGCCATGCCCTGGGAGGCCCTGGGGCCACTGCAGACAGGAGCATGGAAGCAAGCAGGAGGGACAACCAAGGACCCTGGGATCAGACAGCCAAGCAGGAATATATACAGAAACAGAGGTGAGGGGCCAGGCAAGCCACAGAGTGACACAGGAGATGGGGACAACCAGGGGACCTCGGGGAACAAGGGCATTGAGAGCAGAGAGAAGGTCAAAAGTCAGAAACCGGGAAGTCTGGGAACTGAAGTCATTAATGCAGAGCAGACAAGAGATGGGAGGCAGTGACCTGTCCAAAGAGACAAGAATTTGAGGTCGCAATCACCTGAAGCAGCCTGTCCTGCCATGGACTTCCTGATCAGGTGGAGGCAGGAGAGCCTGCAGAATTTGCAGGGCCCCGTGCAAAATGCACATGTGGGACCCTTTGTCCAAAGAAAGCATTAAGAACTTCAAGGCAGTGACAAGAAAACATTAAGCCAAATAAAGGACCTGACCTGGGTGTGGAGCTGCGGCGCAGTGCATGGGTCACCCATTCATGACACCAACCCTGGGTGCAGACTGGAAGGGTGTGGGTGGGGGGCGGGGAGGAGGAATAATGGTGGGATCAGAGAAGAGCAAGAGCCACAGAACTGGGAAAGACCCACATGGAACCTGTCTGTTTCCATTTCATCACGTGAAACACAGAACAATACTATCTCTCTTCCCAAGCCACTGTAAGAATTTAATGATGTTCAGCAAAGCTTCCAGAAGCCACCCACTGGACAGTAGAACACATGAGGCAGGAAAGGCTGAAGTGCAAATCCCAGCTTCTCTGTCTCTGAGCCGCGTGTCTTGGATGAGTTGCTTCCTCTCTTGGCCCTCTCCTCAACTGCGAGATCCAGATGCTAGTAATACTCATTCGCTCAGAAAGTTGTGGGTCTGAACTGAGCTGTGACCAGGTGCGAAGCCCTCAGCCCCATGCTGGGCACATATGGGGACCTGGGCGCCATGGGAGCTGTCCCTTCCAGCCAGCGCCAGTCACAAGAAGAGAACTGTTTGTCCTCAGTTGGTAAGAGTATGTGGTAGTGGTGAGGAACTTTCTCTCACTGAGAGCCAGGCTGAGGGCTCTAAAGAACAAACTATTGAATTCCATGGAGCCATATTTCCATCTTTTATCCAAAGACTAACGTGCACGTTAGAGTGAACTGGTCTGTTCTCAGCAGCTGTTCTGTGGACTAGACAGGGAAGCTGAACTGGTGCTTATCTTCCTCCCTCCACTTCCAACCCAATGGAAATATAAGACGGTGGGAGGACAGAAGAGGAAACTGGCCTAAGGACAGCCCCCCAAAATCAGGTCCCATAAATGACCTCTCTCACACACATCGACAGTTAGGATAATGACAGCTACTGCCTGTGGAGCGCCTCTACACGTCTGATACCATTCTAGACACTTCACATAAATGATCTCATTTAATCCTCTGAGGAAGGGGCTACTGTTATTCCCATTTTATGGGCAAGGAACCTTAAGGCTTTGACTAACTCAAGAGCTTGTCCAAGACCACATGTCCAGGGAGTGGCTGAGTTGGGACTTACCCTGATGTCAAACCTCTCTTCAGCACACCACACTGGCCCTCATCACAAAATGACCACTGTCCCCCTGTCAGGGTCAGGGGAGGAAGGGCCAGCCCTGGGTGTACCAATGCCCATGGCTAGGCTAATGCCCAGCCTCCCTGTTCTGTCTTTTCACTGAAATAAAGGGAAGAAGGGGAACTGAGTGTCCCCCAGGGTATGGGAACTGAGAGAGGACATGCTCTCTGGGTGCGGCCCTGGGACCACGGCCAACTCCTCCCAGGGCTGGACAACCACACTAACCAATGGCCATCAGCCTGAGGAATTGGGTCACCCGAAGTCCTAGGACACCTGCCAACCTAATAGTCGTCTTTCTTATACTTGATGGTGTTCACTTGTTTTGGGTTATCTGCCTCCCTTTAAGGAGAACAGGCATCTTTTCAAGAATTTACTACTTCTCAGAGTTGGCCTCTCTCTTGAAACCAGCAATGAGTGCTCCTCTCTGGAATGAGACAAAAATCCAGAACCTCTGCATGCCCAAGGCCTCATGGAGACACTTCCCATTCCCTCCACCCTCTCCCCTCAGGGCAGATAAACCAGGGAAGACAGGGGACACTTAGTCAGATGGTAGGAAGCGTTGCCAACAGATCAAACATGGCACCAGCCTCCATCCCCCCAGTGGCTGGGCCTGACACACGCTGGGGCTGGCTGAGCAGGAGAGGCCCCACTCGCATGAGAATTATGGTTCCTTATTCTTCTGAGTACTCCAGAGCAGCAAAGGGCAGACGGGAGAAAGAGAGCTGGTGGGAAAGAGAGAGAGAGAGAGAATAGGGTAAATTAAGTGAAAACACCCCCATGGCAAACTTGGCCACGACTAGAGACAGCCCTCAGCCTCACACACTGTCTGTGCTCCGACTCTGAGCTCACAGCATCACCAGCATCTGGCAAGAAGTGGGCCATGAAAGTTGTGCTCTTCTCTGGGCCTGACTGCCATGAGCCTGAAGATGTTCTCTCCCTGAGGAGGGGAGAGAAGTTACACCCCAAGGAGCACAGAATGGAGAGAAAGGAGCTCCAGAGAATGGAGCGTCTCCACTCCTCAGCTGTCCTCCCAGAGCTGGAGTTAAAACTCCCTGCTACACACACACACACACACACACACACACACACACACACACACTCACATACACAGGTAAGCCAAATCCCCAGTTGGCTAGGGTCAGCATGGAGTAATGTGCTTTCCACCTGTACCCTCCCCTCCTCCACACCACAGAGGCTTCCAGAACTGCCAGCTATTCGTTTTAAAAAAAAGTAGATCTTCTACCCGGGTTCAGTATTTTCCTTGATGATTCTGTTTCCATAGCAACCAAGCCTACAAGGCCTCAGCAATTATCTGTCATTTGACGACAGGAACATGGAAAAGACTGACAGGCTGACAGGGCCATATGTGTATCGAAGGAAGGGTTACTTTGAGTTGTTAACAAGGGACCTAGCAATGCCCAGGGGATGCCCTATAGGGCCTGGATATCCCCTCTCCACATGGACTCCATCCCTAACCCCATGCGTGCCTCTGCCTCATGCACTGGTTGGGTTCCCCACAGCCATCTGGAGTTCCAGGTCCCAGTGGACTTCCTTCTTCCTCCTCTCTGGCATATTCTTCCCACCTTCCACTCAAGCCTTTAGGCTACAGATGACACAAGGTTAAAATGTCCCTGACCCCATGCTGCCCATGGACAACATTAGACAGAAAACAATGAAACTTCTAAGACTAGTTTAAGTGGGTTTTAGGCTCCATGGTTCTCAATCAGGGCAATCTTGTTCCTCGGGGCACACTGGACAATGTCTGGGACATTTGTGACTGTCACGACTAGGAGGCCGGCGGGGAAAGGCATAGAGTTACTGGCATCCAGTGGGTAGAGTCCAGGGATGCTGCTAAACATCCAACATGAGGGAAACCGCCTCCCCAAGGAATTATCTAGCCAAAAATAATAGTGCCATGATTGAGAAGCCCTACCCTGGATGCCCACCGTTTCAACAGCTTATGCAGTGCATTCCTTTAAATAAAAAATTATCATAGGAAAATGGCCATCCATCATAAATAGTGGCCTCTTTGGGGACAGGATCCTTTAAAACTAGAAGCATAAGAGAATCTTTGCAAAGGTCTCACCCTACTGAGATGCAAAAGGAGGTTTAAACCCAAAGTCGGTACAAGAGTTTTGAGCCTGGGGCCTACAGTCTCCAGAGTGTCAGGGAAGTGGCTGAGATTGTGTGCAAAATGTCTGTCTGGGCATCTCTGGGCGGAATGGGTTCATAACTTTCATCAGACATCAGATTTCATCAAAGGGGGAACTGCCTCAAAAAAGTCTGAATATCGACCACCTAGATCCCATTTGCTCTGACCTGCACTCTACATTCTCTCATCTCTCATCATGCAAGACCTTTATCATGGCCTTCCCCCTTCCTGACTTTGGTGTCACAAGATATCTTTTTGGCGGTCCCAAAGGGGAGACATCATTGCCCCAACAGGCACAAAAAGACAATAATCGTGTGGACACTTTCCCAGCCTACGAACGTGACATAGGCCCTGCCCAAAGTTTGCAGCAGAGACCTACCTGGTTTACCTGAACTTCATTCGGATTGGTCACTCGGTCCAGGCCATAGTCCAGTACGTTGTTCATTCCCGGCTAAAAGGAAGAAAAACAATGTAAGAACCACCACTGGAAGACTCTCCAGTTTCTGATTAATTCTAGGCCTTGGTCAAACTACCAATTATGAGCCTGAGCTAAGAAGGGCTTGTGGCTTAGCCCATGGGGAACTACAGTTATTCAAAGACCCTCTGGATGAGCTAGTAAGCTTCATGGGGCTGTTCCACCACCGTGGCATCCCAAAACCCAATACAGTGGGATGGATAGGTGTGTGTAGGAGTGAGTGAATGATTGGGATGGATGGATGGATGGATGGATGGATGGATGGATGGATGGATAAATGGATGAATGGATGGATGGAAAGGATGGGTGGGTGGATGGATGGATGGATGGATGGATGGATGGATGGAAAGGATGGGTGGGTGGATGGATGGATGGATGGGTGGATAAATGGATGAATGGATGGATGGAAAGGATGGGTGGGTGAATGGATGGATGGATGGATGGATGGATGGATGGATAAATGGATGAATGGATGGATGGAAAGGATGGGTGGGTGAATGGATGGATGGATGGATGGATGGATGGATAAAACTCAAACTCAGTAAGACTTCACTGGGATTAGTACAAGGAACCCCCAACTCCTCTGGAAGTGCTCCTTCCCCACTCTAAAGTGCAGTGCTTTGGAGAATCCAGGCTTCAGTCAGCACCTTTGGTTTCCAGTGCTGGAACTGCCACTTCCTAGCTGTGATGAAGATTTTGGAAACCACCTCTCTCTACATTCGCTACCCCTCCTGAGAAATGGAGGTGATCTCTCCTACATGTCAAGTTCTTGTTGAGGATTTAACAAGTTGATGTGCAAAGCTCTAAACAGAGAGTAGCAATTACTGAGCAATGGCTTGTGTTCATTTTAGGATCGTGTATGTAAAGGCCGGGGCCAAAGTGGGGCCCCTCAGGCTTTACCAGTCCCCTTCTCTGTCAGACAACCAACCCTCCAGCCAACCTTGCTTGGTGTCCCCTATTCCTTGGCTAGCAAGCTGAGTCTTTCACTTCCTTCTCTGTTAGTTTGATGTAGGCAACCATCAAGTTCCCAACACATATGATCAACCCGGCCTATGACCCTGACGCAGAGGCAGGCCACTGAGCTTTCTCCCCAACAGATTCAACCTCAATAACATCAACCACGTGTTTAGCTCAGAGGTACGGTTGCCAAATAAAATATAAGCTTCCCAGGGAAGTTTGAAGTTCAGACAAATGACAATTTTGATACATAAAAATACATTCCATATGTTTTTAATATAAATATACAATAAGCATAAAAATATTGCGACATTAAACATTTGCTGCTTGTCTGAAATTCAAACTTAACTGGGCATCCTCTATTTTACTTGCTAAATCTGCCTACTTAGCTCAGCAGGCTACCACAGGGGGCAGATATTGGGCACACAGCCAAGGCAAGGAAGAGACAAAAGAAAGCAGTAGAAAAATCGGTGGGGAAAGACAGGGGAAGGGAGTGGCTGTCCTCACCTCAGTGGTCACATGTGGACCTCCATCAACAAATATGTTATCAGGCACTCCCATGGGTGACATTGTGCTCAGCCTGGGGAGCTTGTGGGGAATGTGACACTTCAAGGCATCCCCAGCTGGCATCTCGAGGCACTTCCAGTTGTGTGGGCAAGGCAGCCACTCGGCAACTTATCCCACAAATGATAAATTACAGCTGTGACAAGTGCTATGAGGGACAATGTGGAAGTCCAAGCCAGCCTTCAACAGGATCTAACCCAGCATGGAGGTGGGGGCAGGGGGACACGAGAATCCATGCCCATCCCTAAAGTGAGTTCTAGGAACTGTCTTCTCCATCTGGTACAAAGAATTCCCCCCCAGGGTAACCAAAGACAGACTTACACACGTGCACGCGCACACACACACACACATACCCACCATGCTCCGGGCACCCCTACAACCTCAGCAGCTTCAGTGTACTTGTCTGCTCAAGTCTTGCGTTAGTTCTCCAAATCTTTCCTTCAAACTTGCCCCATGTTCTGATATAAACTCGGCTGCCCCGGTGCTCCCTGGTGCACCTGCACAACCGTAATCAGCACAGGGCTGCCCTCCGCCGCCCAGACCAGACGGCCTTGACTCTCGGAGCTGTGGCCGCCCCGGGGGCTTTAGGATCCTGCCAGCCTGTCCAGTGCCAGCCCCTCCTGGCTGCCCTGCACTGTGCAGACGGCCACACGTGCCCTCCTGGCGGCCAGTCTCCCCATCTCCTGCCTCCTTCGAGCATCTCAGTTGCTCCCAACTGAGCTGTGGCCCCATTCCGGTGCCCTGCCCTCAAAACTCCCCAGGGGGTTGCCTTTCCACCTTTGCTGGTTTGGAAGACTCCCAGGCTCCACTGATTCATTCACTTATTCATCAGGTAGAATCAAGTTTTTGTTCCCCTGCCACTTGCAGAGCCACTGGCGCTGCAGTTTCTGGCACACAGGAGGGTACTCGCCAGAGCTGCCTGCGGTGTGCAGGAGACCAGAGCAATCCCTGCCGTGGGCTGCCAGCAGGCCCATCCAGCCCCAGTGCCACACGCAGAGAGCCCACAAAGACAGCCACCCCCCCCCGTGAGTGCCAGGCTGTGATGCCCCGAGAACGTCCCTTGGGCATAAGCCAAAGAGGCAACTTCCTAAATGCATCATAATTCGGGTGAGGAAAGAACCTGTATGCCCAACAACTGCTCTGAGGAGGCGACATCCCCAGGGCAACACCAGGCTGAGTGCTGAGGGACATTGCTCGGGGACACTCCACCATGTCCCTCCTGTCCCTTCTCCTCTTCTGTTCTCCATCATCACTCTTTTCCCTAACGTATTAGTTCAGCCCCTTCTGGTGCCTGGGACAGAAAGCAAGAGATAAAATACCAAATAGCTACATGAACAAGATGAAGGAGGGGAAAGAGACAGAGATGGGGCTGCACTGGGAGATGTTGGCTGGAACATGAGTTCCCTGGAGAGGTGCTCCCAGACCCTGCGCTGACACGGGACCCCTGCCCCCTTCCAGCGTCCTGCCCTTCTGTACAGTACGCACTCGTGTGTGCAATCGCTTCTGTCCCCAGCTCTCCGCCAGACTGTAAGCTCCTTGAGGGCACAGGCTCATCGTCTGTCATGGCTCAGCGTCCAGGTATCCCCACTGCTGAGTGAGCACCTGGCACAGCGTGGGCACCCACAAAATAGATGTCGGATTTTTTTCTCATTTGAATCAGAGTATGTGGGTTTTCCGTCTGCCTTTATGATATAACATTAAATGTCAGACCATTTTCCTACATCAATAATTGGCCTTTTAAAAATACAATTTTAGGGCAGCCCGGGTGGCTAAGCGGTTTAGCGCCACCTTCAGCCCAGGGCATGACTCTGGAGACCCAGGATCAAGTCCCACATCGGGCTCCCTGCATGGAACCTGCTTCTCCCTCTGCCTCTCTCTCTCTCTCTCTCTCTCTCTCTCTCTCTCTCTCTCTCTCTCTCTCTCTGTTTCTCATGAATAAATAAAATAAAATCTTTAAAAAAATACAATTTTAATAGCTTCATAATGTTCCTTTATGTGGATATAAGCTCATATGTAAAGATTTAAATGCATCTATCTGTCTTTTTATCCATTCAAATTTATTTTGTTTCTCTTTGTTGGACATTCAGCCCAACCTCAACAAGAAATGGAAGGCAGACACCTTCTGCTCTGGTGAGTGTCGGGATTTGTGGTTGACGTGATGGCCAGTTAGCTTGATATTCGGACAAGTGACTGTGTCATTTGGAGCACACACCGCCTCTGTCCTGGACCACATCCTCCATATACCCATGGTCCCCACGTCAGTGGACCCTATCCTCGGGAGACCCAGAAGTCCCAGATGGTGCAGCAAAGATGCACAGAAGGCCCCAAAATGACTTCTCTAAAGGAACCATTCACCCTCTGTTGATTTACGCAATTAACTGTTGTTTGCATCCTGCCTACATCTGCACTCTGTTTCTTTTGGGTAAAACATGGGAGAGGAACATCATTTTCCTTCACTGTTCTCCCCTTCTAACCTGCCCCCAGCATATGGATGCTGCGTCACAGGCAGCATTTGGGCTCAGGGCAGGGATTGGGTCACAATCCTCAGCCACCACCACCCACATTGGGTCTTGGCCTCTGCCCATGATGAGCTCTCTGATACAGCATCCGGCTCCACACCACCACCACCACCCCGCCACCAGCACTTCCTGAATCAAGCACTCCTCGCTGTGCCCCCTCAGCACTTAGGCCTTATCTCCAGGAGATGCTGTTCACCTGCTATGGCAATTTGGATCTTGTGCCCCCCAAGCTGGGAGGGGGGGACCTCACATCCTACAGCGGTAGCACATCAGACAGATGTGGATTCACATCCCAGTGCTGTGCAACCTACTGACCCTCTCTGAGCCTGGATTGCCCCCCATCTGAGTGTCGGGGATGGGGATACTCCCTACCTGACAGCATTGTCATCAGGTAAATGGGATCATCCACACCAAGAGCTTAATGCGGGCATGTATCAGGTGCTCGATGACATTTAGCTGTTATTTTATGCCCAGCACCAAACTGAGCTGGCACAGAGTCGGGGCCCATGAAGGTTTCACAGATCAATGAACAGACAAGTGAAGAAGGGGACCACTGAGACGCAGCAATCCATGTCCCATTCTACGACAGTTGGTTACAGATGGTCCACATACTGGCGGCTTTACACTCCACGGAGTCAAAAGCTTTGTTTGCCTGGCTGGCTTTTTTCCCACTGAACTGACAGTTTGTTTGGTCTCCTGGAGACAGTCTGACAGCCCCTAAACTCCTGGGCTTCGTGGGTTTGTCAGTGAGACTGCTCAATTTCTAGCCTGAGACAGACTTCAGACAGGACGCTCTTCAAGCAGAACGCTCCACCAAGAGGCTGACAGTGTTCTGAGAAAGTCAGGGAGAGCAGGACCCAGATGCACCCCAGCCTCATCTCTGGCTGATGGTCCAGTTTGATTTAGGGGTGCAGCCCTGGCAAGGACTGGACATGAAAATAGTTTTGTGTCCACAGGGTTTTACGACAGCTCCAGGTACATCAGAACCTCCCTGTGAACTTGGCTCCTCAGTGCTCTCAAGCACGGACTGGGCACCTTTGCACCCTGGCATCATGTTTGTTAGAGCAGCAGTGACTCACACGATGCTCTAATGACCGGAGAGGTTCCAAAAAGGCCTTCAATGAGCTAAGACATCATGTAACGTTGTGGTGGGAGGCAAAAGGGCACAGGGACCAGGAGACGGTGCTCCCCAGTCTGCGGGCTCAGATCCTTGGACACTCAGTAGCTGTGCAACCCTGGCAATATGCCTGAGCCTCAGCTTCCCTATCAGCAGAATGGGGCTAATATCACCTTTCATGAGGGGCTGCAAAGATGAAACAAGAGGACGAATGTCGAGTGAAGCCTAGCACAGTGCCCAGCACATAGTTATGTGCTCAGTTCAGGTCTGCTGTGGTGATGATGGTGATGATGACCATCATCATGGACCAGTGACAGTGATGGCGATGGAGGTGGGAGAAAGTGGGAGCAGTGCGGTGGGGGTGGGGGGTGGAAACAAGGCAGGTGATAGTGGAAGCAGTAACCATAGAGTCACATTGTCAAGTTTAGGGACTTCTGCATCATACTGTGAGGGGCCACTCTGCGCCATTTGCCTGGTGTGGGCGCTGAGAGCTTGCCCCAGGAGAAGTTGGGAGAATTCAGATCATCTGCTTTTCACTTTGTTCCCTACAGGCCTCCTGGCTGGCTACAGGGACAGAGGGGAGGAGAGAGATCCGAGGCAGGTCCTGTGCACAGTCGGTCTATGTCACTTTGCAAGGGACACAGTCACACTGGCCCTTCCACCCCATGGAGTCTCTGCACATAATAGAGGATCCGTTCTCCACCCTGCAAGGAGAAGGATCCCCTCCATCACGAGTGCCACAGGCACCAGGGCATCTTGCCAAATGAGAGGCTTCCCTGCCATGTCCCCCTATCTCACCCAGGCTCCCCTTTCAGGAACAGGTGACAGAAGGAAGGCTGAGCAATGACAGCACCCTTCCTTCTCATACAAAGATCTCACTCCTGAGCTACAACAGGGAGGGGCGTATATGTAAGTTGTCCCTCCAGGATCCTGTCATCCCAGCTGTGGACAACTTCACCGAGCCCTGGTGACCTCTATCGGGCATCAGCTAACCGATTTGTCTAGAGGACGAATCCTGACACAAAGCAAAACCAAACAAGCTTTTTGGGGATCAACCAACTCCAAGACCTTAACCTCAGCAACGAGCTGTGCAAACCAATGCGCCCACAGATGGAACAGTGTATGTGTATCTGTTTTGAATGTAGAAAGGAAATAAGCAAAATGGCCAAAATGTGATGAGGTCAAAGTTCTAAATTCCAGAAGCTTTGGCACCATGGCTGACCCAGTTCACTTTCTGACCTGAGAAGGCGGTCAGCAGGCAGGCGGGAAGGCTAAAGGAGGAAGAGGAAGCACATCTGCTTTGACCTCCTCACTTTCCAGATTCCCTTTCACATCTCCCACCTCCAGTGACCCAAAGGCAGCACCTGGATCTGCCACAGGAGGAAAGTGAGGCAGCAGAGGTAACCCCAGCAGGTGACCATTCCCAGTAATGAGCCGTAGCAAGCTACATCACTTATGCCCAGCTTGTCTCTCTGGGCCCCTAGAGTCCCTGAGCTAGATAGAGATGCATTGTGCTCTGAGAAGTGAGGCACAGCACACACTCATTCCTCCTCACCTACTCCCACCTCAACTGCTGGGGATGGATCTGGAAAAGGAAGAGGGAACAAGAGATGCAAGGCATAGCCTGGTCTATGCAGACTTCCAGTTCTCTACAGCATTTTCTGTAGAACCTGGGTACTAGTTTTTTCTTCTTGTGTCCCTTTTCCAAGGTATCATGGCAAAAAAAAAAAAGTCAAAATCATAATCTATCCCTCATAAAAGGCAAGCTCATTCGGGTTCCTCCCGTAGGTAACTTTGTTTAGACCCACCACCACCAGATGAGCCACAAGCTCATTCCATCAGGCAGTCTTTCCTCTTCCACCAAGAGGCACTTAGACGCTTACCCAGTGCTGAGCAACCACTCCTGTTCCTTCAGTTCCAGCCACAGCGGGAAATGAGCCAGAAAAGGGATAATGAGAGTACAGGATAGAGATGGGGAGGCATAAAATGGGTGAAACCAGGAAGGATAATAATACTCACAGGGCATCGGTGGACCAGCCAATATGCCTTCTCCTGGCAATCCAGCGCATACCTGTCTGCTTTATTCCTTTCCTTTCCAGTCCTGAGAAGCCAAAAGCCACATACAAGCCAGTAAGACTTTGCACCTTTTGCTCAGTGAGGTACCCCACTTCTGATGATCCAGTCCACTCTCCCCACCTCTCCAAATAATCTGCGTTTGCCATCATCATCATCATCATCATCATCATCATCATCATCATAGTCAACACTAATATCACACGAGTATTAACTCACTTAATGCCCCCAGTGACCAGGGACTTCGCAGCTCCAGGGACTGAAGCAAAGGGACACTGAATGCCCTGCAGAGGGTCACACTGTCAGCAAGGGGCAGGGTGGGATCCGAACAGGCATCTGGTCCCAGAGTCCAGCTCTGTCTGAGAGCTACCACGCCACGGTGACTGGCCCCAGAGTCAGACCGCCACCACCTTCACCACCAGGGCGAGTGTGGATGACATTCTGGGCTGACACCTGACTACCCAGCTTAATTTCTCCCTGCCTTGATAGACAACACAGTCAACGTCTGGACCAGCAGGCAGCAGGCATTGCCAGAGCTTGCTGATGGGGAAAATGCTGGGCCTCGGGGATCTGTGTGTCTCCCTCCCTGTCGGGTCCACTCTGTCCTTTCAAAGAGTTCATGACAAGTCAGGGTTTTTCCAAACCCAACTTATTATTGTAAAAGGCTATTTATTTTCCCTTATCTCCATCTCCCCCTCTCCTCATTATGGAGAGGAAACAATGCCATGCTTTCCTCCCACGGAAGCCGGGCAACGGTAATTATAGGGCCACAGGTCCCATTCAGCACCATTTCCACGGCGACCTGCACTCACACGGTGAGGCTTGCTTTCCCAGGCAACGTGGGATGACGCACATGCCCTCCACAAGACGGCAGATTTATTTGCTAGCTAATGTATTGTGAATAACGTCAGCACATCTAGAGAGCCAGATGGGTGGAGAGTGCCATTCCACTGGGGTGTTTTGCCAACCTCCTCTGGAAATTAAATATAAACACTGTCACTTCAACTTCCCCTTGCCAACCTAACTGGATTTTCCACCAGGTTAACTACCCCACATCCTCAGGAGGATGGGCCACAGACGGCCTACGGCACTGCAGCGTTTCCATCATGCTGGAGAGCCTTGTAAATAGTCAGTGGCTAATTGACAATAATGGTCCTTTCTGGCTTTGCTCTTTGGCTCTGCTGGGACAGATGTACTTGGAGGAGAGTCGTGATGAATGGAATCCGAAAGAACCAGTAAACAAGAAAGAATCTTAGGTTGTCGTATTATGATCTTTTTTTTTCTTTCAGCAACAGTATTGCTTAATCAATCAATCAATAAATCATTTGTTCACATATTCACTGATCTCCCCCTATGTTCAAAGTACTGAGAGTATGGGGTGGGGTGCCTGGGTGGCTCAGTAGGTTAAGTGGCTGACTTTGGCTCAGGTCATGATTTCAGGGTCCTGGGATTGAGCCCCGCATCAGACTTCCGGCTCAGTGGGGAGTCTGCTTCTCCCTCTCCCTCTCCTTCTGTTGTTCCCTCTGCTTGGGCTCTCTCTCTCTCTCTCTCTCTCTCCCCCCCCACCACCCCCCCGTCAAATAAACAATAAAATAAAATCATTTTTTAAAAAGTACTGAGAGTACATTGGTGCACCAAAGAGACTGTTATAGACTAAATCTTTGTGTGCCCCTCAGAACATATATTGAAGCCCTAACCTCCAATGCGATGGTGTCTGGAGATGGGGCCTTTGAGAGGTAATCAGATGAGGGTGCCTGGGTGGCTCAGTGGTTGAGCATCTGCCTTTGGCTCAGGGCATGATCCCAGAGTCCTAGGGTTGAGTCCTGCATCAGGCTCCCTACAGGGAGCCTGCTTTTCCCTCTGCCTATGTCTCTGCCTCTCTGTGTCTTTCAAGAATAAATAAAATATTAAAAAATATATATGTCTACAATTCTTTGATGTTCCTTCCTTTGAGAGGAGGGTTCATGTTCTCCCCTCCCGGGAACCAGGTGGGTTTTGTGGCTGGTTCAACCAACACAGTAATGTCAGAAATGGCACTCTATGATTTTGGGGGCTGGGCCATAAAGGGCGGGATAGCTGCCATCCTCCCACTGGAATACTTGCCCTTGAGGCTTCCAACCACCTGTAAGCAACGTGACTTCCCTGGTGCCACCATGCTGGGAGGAAGCCCAAGCCACCTGGAGAGGTCCAGAGGCCCCAAGACAAGGGCAAGAAATGCCCAGCCAGTGGCTGCAGGCCTCCAGCTCCAGCCTTGGGCTGCATCCACTTACGAGACTCAGACCCAGGCCTGCCCAGCCAAGCTCTTCCCAAATTCCAGATCGACAGAAACCTGTTTAGATAATAAAGCAATTGTTGCTGTTTTGAGCCACTGAGTCTTAGGACGATGTGTGTTCCCTAACAACAACTAATTAGAAAAGTCTCTTTTGAGTAGACATTTGAACTGAGAGATCTCTCTCTGAAGGATAACAGGACCCTATTTGTGTTTCCAAAATGCAAATGGGAGCAGAGAGACCAGTTGGAAAGACACAGCCATGGCCTGGTTGTTTCATGGTGAAGTTGTTTCAACCAGGGCAGGGAGGTGGGAGCAGGTGGGCAGAAGGAGTTTTGCCAGGAGTGTGCAATAGGACTAGATGACTAGACACTGGGTATGGGGCCTTGGGAACGGGAGGTAAATGGGGCTCCTTCCACTGATGTGGGTAACACCAGAGGAAGAGGTTTGGGGTATGAGGGAGAGAAATATTCAAATATGAACAAGTTAAGTTTGAGCCGTGACATCAACATGAGATGTTGAATGAGTGGCTAGATGCTGAATCCGGGATTCAGAAAAGAGGTCTATGTGGAGAGGCTCAGTATAACAAAATGGCTACCTCAGGAGCGAACCTACATGGCCAACCTAATTTCATTGAGACCCTGTGTTTGTATTGATCAGGCTTCTGCAGAAAAACAGAAAGAGTAGGAGAGTAGTAGATAGATAGATAGATAGATAGATAGATAGATAATTTATTTTAAGGAATAGCACGCTATTGAGGAGGCTGGCAAGTCTAAATTATGAACGACACACCAGCAGGCAGGATGCAGGGAAGGGTTGATGTTGCAACTTGAGTCCAAAGGCAATCTGGAAGCAGAACGCCTCCTTCCTCAGAAAACCTGTCTTTTTTTCTTAAGGCCTTCAACTGATTATATAAGGCCCAACTGATTATATAAGGCCCAAACACACACTATGGAGGTAATCTCCTTTACTCAAAGTCTACTGATGTAAATGTTAATCTCACCTAAAAAATACCTTGACGGGACACCTGTGTGGCTCAGTAGGTGGAGTATGAGACTCCTGATCTCGGCATTGTGCATTTGAGTAGGGTATACCACTGTAGGGTATAAAGATTGCTCACAAATTTTTAAAATCTAAAAAAAAAAAAATACTTTCACAATGTCATCTTAGACTGGTGGTGGCCCAGCTATCTCGGTACCATGGCCTAGACAAGTTGACACACAAAATTAGCCACTGAAGACATGAAATCTGGAATCGGAGGCAGCCTCTGAGTCAAGCAATGGAATTAGTGGGGAAAAGCCAGTATCTCAGAAGGACAGAGCCTTTTATGAATTGCTCATCCCAAGGCATCTAGAAGTGATGGAGGAGGGGACGTCCTGTGACATGGGAAGGACAGAGCTTTATCTAGGCTGAGGCCAAGGCCCAACTGGTGGGGCCTGTGGGAGCCATTGAGAATAGTCCCGAGCTGCCAGGGAGCTAGAGTATCCTTAAAGGCATATGTCAAGGTCTGCAGGACTCAGGATCCCTGGGCTATCCTACTTAGAGCAGAGAGCTGGGGAAGAATAAGGGGGTTGCAGCCCAGTGTGGAATCCAGCAGAAACTCAAAGTAACACTAGCCCAGGTTTGACCATTACCTCACAGAGTGACTTTGCCGAGGACTGTTTAAACTTTCTAAGTGTCAGTTTCGCTATTTGTGGATGTGAAGGATGACCAGAATTACTGTGAGCACTTCCCTCTCACCAACAGCAAAGGAGACAGTACACAGACCTCACCAAAAGAAGCCTTAGGAACAAATACAAGTGATGGGAAGTTAGAGCACTCCCTGCAGCGCTCTGTCTCAGACATACCCAGGCAGAAACATGTCAGTGGTGAAAGGCCCACACCAGGTCTCTCAGTAATGCTCCTCTACCTGAATCTAAAGCCTCAAAACAGATATTTTCCCTTCCAGGCAATAAAGCCATCTGCCATTGGAATTTTTGTGTTTCCCAAACTGGCACACCTGCATAATAGCGCTCACCTTTTGTGATGGCTAATTTTATGTGTCAACTACTAGGTCACTGGACACCCAGATATTTGGTCAAATATTATTCTGGATGTGTCCCTGAGGGTGTTTTCAAATGAGGGTATGTTAAGTTGAAGGCCTGAATGAAATGAAAGGGGGAGGTTGATCCTCCCTCGAATGACAGGGAATTCTTCCCACCTGATGGCCTTGGGCTGACACAGCAGTCTGTTCCTGCCTTGGGACTCAACTAAAACATCAGCTCCTGGACCTCCAGGCTGCCAGCCTTCAGACAAACCTACGCCACCAGCTCTTTGGGTCCCCAGCCTGCGACTTGCGACTTCTCAGCCCCTGTAATTGTGTGAGCCAATGCCTTAGCATACAACTCTTGATATACATACATACATATATATCCTATTGTTTCTCTAGAGAGACCTAACTAATCTCCCACTACTCCAATCCTAAGGCTGCCTGATGAGAGCTCACTGTCCAGCTCAACTATGCACCAGCAAAGGTAGACCTTTCCAGAAAATGGACTTGCCAGAGTGAGTGAGGCTAGGCCAGCTTGACTTATCCAGTTTGGTAATATCTGGCATTGGTCCCCAGATATTCCTGACTCCTCTGTATTACAGGCACACGATAGGACTGTACCTCCCCATCCAAACTCCTTTGAGGTTGGGCACAATGATAGGAGCTGCTTTGGTTAAGGAATTACGAGCAGAAGTGACATGCATCACTTGTGACCCACACAGGCTCTGTCTCCCTCTGCTCCAGCAACAGGTAAAGCCTGGATGGTGCTGCTCCTTCAGCATGGGTCCTGGAGGGGGCACAAAGCATGTCAGGGCCCCAGCTAACCCACAGTGGGCATGTAACACAGCACTGTGGTTTTGTGCTCCTGGGACCTGGGGGCTATTTGTTGTAACAGCCTGACCTCTGATCTCATCCTGCCTGATTCACTCTCTCCAACATTTACGTCTGGCTCTCCTAGACAAGGCAAAGCCCTCATGAGGACTTCCGGCTCCAGTTCTGAAGTGGACAGCAGGCAAATGAGAGCAGCAGTGGGTGGTTCTACCGTGCAAATCCAATTAAAATCTCTTTATGGCTTCCCGTGGCCCTTAGCACAAAACCCTCCCACAAGCTGCTCCTGCTGACATCTCGGGTCTCACATCTGTCAGTTCCAGGCTCTAGGCTCTCTGCTCCAGCTATGCAGAGCTGCCTCAAGTGGCCATTCCCCTGACTCCAGATTCTGAAGACTTCCATCTACTTTGATGCGGTTTCCCCCGCTCCTTCTGGAAACCCCAGTGTGAGGCCCCCATCTCAGTGTAGCATTGCAGCCTGTTTGCTCATCCACCTGACCCCAGATTGTGCCTCCACGTTCCCCATGCCTAGCCTAATGTTTAACACAGAAGTGCCCAGTTAAGATTTATTTTAACAAAAGGAAACAAAGAAGGAAGGGAGGAAGAAAGGATGACTAGTGGACAAACGTGACCTTTCACTTACCTGTATTGCTCTTTGGCCTGCATAATGACAAAATCCCATTTGTAGTTAATTTTTTTGTTCAAGAAATTGTAATTTTCCTAGAAATGGGAAACAAAAAGAACACTGAGCCCCATGACATATGCTGTGTGCAGAGGGCAGAAAGCTTTAAGTCAATGATGGCATGCCCTTGGCCCTGCTACAGCCTCACCCCAGCCAAATGATCTCCCATCCTGGCTTTGCAAAGGCATTCATTCAAAGGGTAGCACCAAATTCTCAGAAAGCCTTGCCAACAGAAGCCAGACCCTGGCTTGAATTTTTTTAAATAAATATATCCCAAATCTTATTAGGAAAGGGAGAATACAATGGGAGAAAAAGCAGAAACTCAATATTCAATGACAGAGCATCACAAATGCACAGACAAGTCCTAAGATTGGCATGATGTTGGCACTTCTAAAAACATGTTTGTAAAGAATAAAAACACAGCAAGATTGTTGCTGTCTGCCCAGAAACCTAGCCTTTTGAGGGCGAGGGCGTGTTCTTTGAGAAATCTAACTCGTCTGGCCTAAAACAAAAGCTACACTATTGTTTTCTCATCACACACTCAAGTTCAAATCTGTTCATCACACACTATCCATTATCATGCATATTAATTGTCTCATTGTTTTAGGACAGCAAAAGGAAGGAAAAGGAAGGTAGTAGCTATTGTGTGTCCAGTAGACACTGAGGCAAGGGTTTCTATTATAGCAGGAGAAACTGAAGCTTGACATGGGGAAGAATTTACTTCAGCAAGCTGCTTCCAAACAGATGAATGGATGGATGGTGGGTGGATGGATCCTGGATGGGTGAATGGAGGATGGATGGATGGATGGATGGATGGATTGATGGTGAATAGATGGTGGATAGATGGATAGTGAGTGCATGGATGATGAACAGTGGATAGATAATGGATGGGTAGATGGTGGATGAATGGTAGATAGATGGATGGTAGGTGGATGGATGGATGGATGGTGGGTGGATGGATGGTAGATGAATGGATGGTGGGTTGATGGATACTGGATGGATGAATAGAGGATAGATGGATGGACTGATGGTGGATGGATGGTGGATAGATGGAGAGTTGGTGGATGGATGGTGGATGGATGGTAGATGGATAGTGGATGGTGGATGGGTGGATGATGGATGGATAGACAGTGAGTGGACAGATGGATCAAGGGTGGATGGATGGATGGATGGACAATGAGGGTATATGTGATATCACAAAGGAGGAAGAGGAAAAAACAACTGAAGACTTTATTCCAACTATAATAGCTTATACTTGAAAGCATCTCTGTACCTTTTCATATTCTTCTAAAATCCCTTTCTTTTTTATATTTCGCTTGGCCAGATAGATGGCTGAAAAAGAAAGCAATGACATTTTCCATCATCATCATATTTTAAAACTGCATCTGCATGAGGCTGCTGTGGTTGGCTTGGTGGGGAGAAGTCTCAGCAGACCCCTGCTCCCTTCCCTGGGAACCCTCCCAATACAGATGTGAACTGACATAAAGGTCATGATGACAGCAAGACAAATGTCACCAAAATGCAGTGAGTAAATAAGTAGCGTATTAAGCACTACCAAAGGCATGGGGAGGTAGAGTTTTACCATAGTCTGTATCTTCAGCAGGCCACTGCTGGGTGGGCCAGAAATATGGTGTCTACAAAAGAAACCAGGAAACCATGCTTAAACACTACGCTGTGACTGTCCCCCTGAGCCCCCCACCCAGTCCTGTGGCTTGAGATGAAACTACCTTAGCCCCCTCCCACTCTTTCTAAAGTTCTGATCTGTGATGATATGAAACCACACAATTACCTTCTCAGGTAAGATTAATCCCATATAACACCAAGGTCAAGACCAAAACCCACCTGAAATCGGTAGAGGCTGTTGTCAGGCTTGAGAACGAGATTCCTGGGATCTTGCAGGGGATAAATGTAGCCATACTTGACAATAAAGTTCCCCAAGTTCTGTGCCTCTGAGAAGACACATGGAAGTTAAGAGCAGACACAGAAGGCGGAAGCTCACTGCCCAACCCCCACACAGTTCTCCAAACTCCAGGAGAGGTGCTTCCATCCTAATGGCACTTCATCCAAGGAGTGAGGACAGTGGTTCCTGAACTTGGCCATAGGCAAATATCAGCTGGGGAGGCATGGTAAGAAGAAGATTCCTCAGCCCAATCCCCAGAATGACAACTCATAAGTCTAGGGGGAGCCAGTGAACCCAAATGTTAATGAGTGTCACAGGTGGTCCACTGTAGGTATATGGAGAAGCTTCTTTGGGCCCTTTGGGTCTAGAGAAGTCCCCAGGCGCAGGGAAAGAATGTCTCTGATCAACAGAAAGTTCCTCACTCAACGAAGAAAGGAAAGAGGAAGCCATGTTTATTGCCAGCTTCTATCCCAAGCTCAATTCTCCTTGCATCCCAGGCCCAGATCCCACCCCTATTGCCCCCAACTCCTCTAAACCTCCCTTTAATTCCCACCCACCTCCAGTGTGCTTGAAAACACAGTCTTATTTCTGGATTTGTGTCAGTTAAAGGAAAACCTTCCTGGTTCTTTCTCAGAAGCCCCAATGAAGCAGGTGTCTTTTCATCGATCACTGAGAAAGAATTCCACCTCTAGTTCTCCGGCCCAAGGACCCAACCCACATCCCATCCCATATCTCAGCCTTCAAAGCTGAGAAGACTTTCTCCCCAACCCTCCTTCTTACATCATGTCTCACTCCCTCTGTCATTGACAAGTCTCATTTTTTTATGCCTTGTTGTACCAAGTCTTTTTTCTAGTGGGAAGTCTGTTCCTTAGAGTCTCTCTGTTCCAATCCACCCCTCAAATCGCTGCAGACATCCTCGCTTACATATGATTATCATACATACTGCCATGTTCAAAAATCCCCCATGGCTTCCTATGACTTGTCTCCCAGATAAAACTTGGAATTTGCAGGGGCACCTGGGTGGCCCCAGTTGATTAAGCAGCTGACTTGTAACTTCGGCTCAGGTCAGGATCTTGGGGTCCTGGGATCGAGCCCCACATCTGGCTCAGTGCAGACTCTGCTTAGGACTCTCCCTCTCAGTCTGCCCTTCCCCCACCCGTGCACATGTGAGCGCATGCTCTTTCTCTCTCTCAAATATATAAATAAATCTTTAAAAAAAACAACAACAACTTGGAATTTGTAAACATGCCAGCTATAGTCCTACTCCTCCCCTGCCCTGCACACCCAGCTGAAGTCATGTCTCCCAATTTCCCCTCGTTCCCACTCCCTATCTCATTCATTCCATCTCTACACCACTGCTCTGGCTAGTGCCCCTCTGGGAAGACAGACCGTCGGGCTCCCCTCCGCAATTCCCAAGCATAACCTTCTTTTGAAATCAGCTATATGTGTGCATCACCCCCTCCAAGAATTCTGTCTTGGCTGATTCTTCCCCAATTATCCATTATTTACATGCTCTCCAGCCCCATTATCATGCCTTCACTTTTGATTCTGGTTGTTTTGCACATGAACGCCTTGTCTCTCCAATGTCCATTTCTCAGAGACAAAGGTTAAGCCTCCATTTCGTCTCTACCCTCCAGAAATTCATTGGTGGCGCTGCACACATGACCATCTTTGTTGACCGAGTGCCTGAGGAGCTCTCACCCAGATTGGAGATCCAAAGCCGCTGGGAGATCCACTGTAGAACATCACTTCCTGCAAACCAGAAGTATTTGGCCATCGTCAGAGCTTTCAAGCATACCCCCTGACCTCTACACCCTCCTCCACGCTGTTGCCTGAGTCTCTGCAGGGCTCAGCTGCGATCTCATCCCTCTTCTCCTTACAACTTTCAGGGACTCCTCTCCACTGCTCCCTACTATGTTCACTCCAAACCCTGCAGCCATGATTCAGGGTCATCCAAGATCTGACTTCATCCAGACTGCTAGTTTAACCTCCCACACACACCCTCAATCTTCACCTCTCTTGTAGTACTTCTTTTCTTACCTTACAACAATTGGTGCATTGACTGTCATTCAACAGATAAAAAGTAAATAGCCTAAGTCTTAACACTGAAAAAAAAAAAAAACAGACCCAAGGAATGCTGTCTGTGGGGCTCCAGATGGAGTCTGGTCACACAAGGGTAAGTCAGAGCAAGAGATGGGAGGAAAAGTGGGAATGAGCTAAGAGTGAGGGGATGGTTCTCCTACGCTCCCAAGTTCCCAGGCAGAACTCTGAGGAGTCAGAACATTCTAAATTCAGACCTGACCTGTCAGGTCACTGTGAAGGTATTTTGGTCAAAGCAGGATGAGGGGACATATTTGGTAACACTATGGGTTGACTTATAACTTTGGACAACGGGATGTGGACTCCACTTGGGAGTCTGCAAGTCTTAGGGGCTGGCCTGGGAACAATGCAGAGTGAGGACTGGTGGGGGCAGGGGGGAAGCAGGAGAGGCAGACAGGGATGAGATCAGGAGAGATCAGGACAGGGATCCCGGGGTGGCGCAGCGGTTTGGCGCCTGCCTTTGGCCCAGGGCGCAATCCTGGAGACCCGGGATCGAATCCCACGTCGGGCTCCCGGTGCATGGAGCCTGCTTCTCCCTCTGCCTATGTCTCTGCCTCTCTGTGTGTGTGTGTGTGACTATCATAAATAAATAAAAATTTTTAAAAATTTAAAAAAAAAGGAGAGATCAGGACACAAGCACCCCTCCCACCTGCCCCCCAAGTATTCAGCCTTATCTAAGGGCCAAAGCAAGCCAAGTTCCACCAATAATCTAAAACTGTTATAGGACCCCAAGGAAACTGTGTGCTTCCTCCTCACCCTGGGCCCTGCAGCCCCATAAGCAGAACAGGTTCCTTGTAGGAGGAGCCCAGTAGCATTTCCAAAGAAGGACAAGATGCCCTGGAACCAACCACCCCAATTCAGATGCCATCTTGCAAATACCAATGGCCATATTTTCCAGCAACTTCAGCCTGCTTTACAAAGGTCACATTGGGCCCCTGCCTGCACGGAGACTGACCCACAGAACATACTGAGAAGGAGGATCCGGGTCTGAGACACCATTGCCAATGTCCTTGTGGCTAGACTATTCCAAATGATACTTCTCTCCTCAGTGGTCGTGAAGGGGCATGTCTTCTGGGCCCCTCCAGAGAAGGCCCTTATAAGACCCACTCACTCTCCAGGCTTAATTACCTGGCCACAGCTAAGGGTGGACAACATGTGATTCTTACTTTCCTCTCTGCCCTGAGGCACAAATTGTCTCTGTCTATGCCCACATGCCCACCATTATTCCTTTCAGTGGGATCTCCTCTGCTGCTCTTTGTTTTATTCACCCCTGGTTGGCTTTTCTAAAGCAAAATTCTCCATCTAAGATCCTCCTTAAACTCCTAGGACTGGATGTTTTAGACTTTCCACCCCGGGTCCCCTTGAATGCCACTCAGAGGTATGCAGACTGAGAGAGAGAGAGACTCAGGCAGACAGCAGACTGATTAGCGCTCTCCACCAAGGAGCCAAGGGTTTTCTCATCCACTTGACTGCTTCCTAAAATAGACCAAATAAGATTACAGGGCCACCAGCATCTGCACCACATGGTGTATGCTAAGAGTGCAGTAGGCTCCCACGTCAGCCACCTTCATTCCCAGAGGTCTGGGTCACCTGCCATCCGAGGAGTTAGATGCTGATTACCCAATTTGTGTGCATTAATGCTGACGCAGGACCCAAGGCTTCTCCCTGAGTCCTGCTCCAGTGGCAGCCGAAATTCAGCCACACGAAACACAGCAGGGTGGGCCACCTCGCCCAGACCCAGGAGCCAAGGGTGCCCCGTGTGCAAGGAAAGAAAGTAGCTTATGTGCGCTGACCATGGATAAGGGGATGGACACCTGAGTCACATTGCTGGGGTCAGATCCAAGCTCAGCCATGTGCAAGTTTAGTGACAGGGACAGGTTGCTGAACCCTTCTGCTTGTCCATGGCCCCAGGTGCAAAATGCAGATGGTCATATCTACCCCAAACTTTATCATGGGTCTTAAGTGGCACAGTGTGGGAAACTGCTAGCTATCATCACACATCAAGCATCCATGCTGGCCGACCGTGTGCACAGGACTACCTCACTTAATTCCCGCAATCATTCTCTTACACAGGGATTGCTATTCCTGCTTTTAAAATGAGAAGATTAAGGGGTGCCTGCGTGGCTCAGTCTGTGAAGCATCTGCCTTCGACTCAGGTCATGATCCCAGGGTCCTGGGACCATTTGAGCCCCACACTGGGCTCCCTGCTCAGTGAGGAGTCTGCTTTTCCCTCTCACTCTGCTGCTCCCCTGCTTGTGTGTGTGGGAGTGTGCGTGCGCTTTCTCTCAAATAAATAAATAAAATATTTTAAAAATAATAAATAAAGTGAGATGATTAAGACAAGGGCTACACAGCTTTAAAAAGGCACCTGAAGGATTCAACCCCAGGGCACCTGACTCAACGTCCAGGACTCATTGCACAGTGCTCGAGGAGCACTGACTCATGCATTAAATAAATTTCTGTTAAACCTCCACCCTGACCAACAGCTATGCTAAGCCCTGGAGTTACCCAGATGAGCAAGACAAGATAGTTCCCCTTGAAGGGCTTCCCAATCCAGCAGAGAATTCAGGCCAGAATGAATGACAACCAGGAGCGGAGTGGGGGCAGGAGCAGGGATGCCTTCAGGAAGAACTGCCCCAGGGACATCTTAAACGCTGGGGGAAAGCAGAGCCACCTTGAGAAGTCTGCCCATCAATCCCTGCTCTTTGGATACCATGTGCTACTCTGGTTCCTAGCCTTTCCCAAGTGTGGCTCATCAGAGTTCCTTTTCCTTCTGTGAGCTACTCTGTCCCATTCCATCAATGGCTCTTTTGTTCCAACCAGCTGGGTTGATTTTCTGTTGCTTGCACTCCAGGAACCCTGAGCAACACTTTGCTGGCATGGGTACTCCTTCCAAGCAGACAGAAGGAAATGGGACACTGTTAGCCAGCTTGCCTCTGCCAAGACCAGGGCACCCTGAGTGAAAAATAGGTCATGGTGGGGAGAGAGTGCAGGGTCACAAGGAGTGGTGCAGAGTGGCGAGTCCCAGGCTGGTGCTTTGAAAATCTGTTTCTGAGGACAACTGTCTCATTAGGAAACATACTCTCCACTGAAAAACCAGAATCATAAAACACATACAACATATTAATCAAATTCATTCTTATTCTGCGATTCAGATCCCTTCTGCGGACATCCTCAAATGATGTTCCTTTATCCCACATCCAGAGAAAAGAGACTCTGGTGCCATCAACATGGGGTAGCTAAAGGTGTCAATAGGAATAAGAAAAGGGTAGAGCAGAGACCAATTTTTTTCTGCCAGATGTACTATTTTTTTTTAACACCACCTGATTTCATTAAAACAGGGCAAACAGAAAGTGACTGTTAAAGCTTTTTAAATGAACTCCTGGGAGGGATGGCTTCACAAAGTGACCTCCTGATTCCTTTTCTCCTTTTCCTTTTGACCCCTTCCCCAGAAGGAGGCTGTGGTCCAGAAATAAGCAAACTTACCCTATAAAAGGTTGTAAATTTTTCCAGTTCTGTGGGCCACAATTCAGTCTCTGCACAACTACCTGACTCTGTCATTGTAGTACAAAAGCAGCCAAAGATAATACATAAATAGGGATGTGGGGGGCACCTGGGTGGCTCAGTGGGTAAAGCGTCTGCCTTCAGCTCAAGTCATGACCCCAGGGTCCTGGGACGGAGACCCCCATTGGGATCCCTGCTCAGCAGGTAGTCTGCTTTTCCTTCTCCCTCTGCCCTCCCCTCTGCACATGCACGCACACTTGTGCGCGCGCTCTCTCTCTCTCTCAAAATAAATAAAATATTTTTAAAAATAAGAATGTGGATGTGTTCCAATAACACTTGATGTACAGATGCATGCCATAGGCTAAACTTGGACCTCCAGCTATAGACTGGCAACCTCTGCATGTGGACGGTTCCAGGCCAAGACTATGTCCCAAGATACATTACCTGTCATGGCGTGAGGGACACTGGTGACCAGAACCTTCTGGTTCTGCATTCTGACCCCCGTCTCCGGGTTCTGCATATCCTTCACTAAAGCTTCAATCTGCAAAACAGAACCAAAACCACTGGCTGACCAGAACTGATTCAAAAGCCAAGCAAGGCCCCTTTCTGCAGCATGGAGGGAGCAAAAGGTGCAAAGATGAATACAGCGAGCTTACCACCAGGAGCTTGCAACCTAGATGGACACTGAGGAAGCACAACACAACCAGATTCAGCATGTGCCTCCCAGACACAAACACCCTCACTGGGCGTGGGGAGCTCAGAGATGTGTGCTCCAATGTAGAGCTACTCACGGGCCCAGAGGGGGAAGTGAGACTCAGCCAATGAGGATTTTGCTGGACAGAAAGTGAGAAGACACAGGAGCCAACGTCCAGGGAGAGAGTGGCGCAGACACCAGGGGCAGATGAAACAGGAACAACAGGTAGGGGCCAGATCACCATGGGCCTTGAATGCCATTCCCAGAGCGTGAATTTTGCTCCAGCGGCAACTGCTGGGCAGTAGCATAATTCAGCCCAGGCTCAGGAAATGTGGCCCAAGACAGAGAGAAGAATGCTGAAGTATGAAGAAGTTTGATGTTTGAAGAAGGTGCAGAAAAGCGGGGAGATCCATGCGAAGCTACTGCAATGGTCCCAGCAAGAAATAGTGGGGCCCCCCCCACAACCACCCCCACCACCTCTGCCCCTTCTCAGGAGAGCAGCCAAAGAGAGTCTTTCAATTATTTTAGAACGTGTCACTCCTGTTCGGAACCTTGCAATGGCCATTTCCACTCAGAGACAATGGGAAAGCTCCCCTACTGGTCTGCATGGTTGGGACTTCTTCCTCCCTGACTCTTCTCCTACCACTGCCCCCCACCCCGGCTCCCTCCGATCCAAGCCACCCTGGCCACCTTGCTGTTCCCTGACCATGCCAAGCACAGAGCCAGCCTCCTGCCCCAGGGCCTTTGCTCTGGCTATTCCCTATGCCTGGACCATTCTTCCCTACGTAGCTAACTCACTCACCACCTTCTTCTGCTAACACCCTGACCATCGTACTTAACGCTACAACCTGGAACTCCACCCGTGGTATTCCTGTTCCCCTACTCACTTTCTCCATAGCACCCACCTTCTAACATAGGAAATTCTCTACCTACTGATTACCTTGCTTACTGTGTGTCTCCCTTGTCCCTAGAAAGCAAGCTCTTTAAGAGCAGGTGTCCTGTTTGCTGTTGTCCGATGCTGTTATTGTGCATGCTGGCACACTGCTGGACACGTAGGTTGTACTCACTAAGCAGCTGATGCATGAATTAATATATACATGAAGGCCGGGGCAGGGGAGATAGGAGGGCACTGCTCTTGGAGCTCTAGTTAACTCGAGTGAACTGTACTTGCAAGTGATTGACTTGTTCAGTGAGGGTGGCACTCCTGTGATCAGAGCCGCCAGTCACCAAAATAGAAAATGTAGGAAGTGCAAAGGAAGGAGCACTTTCTGAAAGCAAAAGCTTCTGCTTTTGGAATGCCGACTGAGAGAGCCACCACCGGGTCAGGCAGGTGACAGGAAACCGAATGTCCCAAGGGAAAGAGACAGGGATCAGAGCTATGGATTAGTCATGAATATCAGAGGGAGGGGTGAAGCAAAGAGAATCGGTGACCTGTCCAAGGAAGAGTGAGCTCCAGGAGGACATCCACGAGGATGGCCCTGATGCTCTGTATTTTTTTTTAATTTTATTAAGAAAAAAAATTTGTTTTCCACCTGAGAAAATTAAATGGAAGTGAATAAATAAATCTTTAAAAAAAAAAAAGAAAGAAAGGATGGGTTGGCACAGTTAAAAAAAAAAAAGATAAACCCAGATGTATCTCCTGTCAATGTTTACAATGAACACTGACAGGACCTCATGTATCAGAGGTTTCAAGCTTCACACTCCCCCAGGAAACCCCTCACCCATGAAGAAACCACACATTCCCCCAGCCTGCTGGGTGCTTGTGATGGTCAGCCAGTCATTCAACAACCAGCCAGTCATAATTGACTCTGGAAAACCATAGATAAGGCAATGCTGTCCCCAAGCCCAAGGAGCTCACTGTCTGGTGTGAGGGTGTGATGATGGACCAACATGGGAAGTATAATGACAAAGGTGAGATCAAGGTATGGTGAAGAACACTACAGTGCCAGGAGGGGGATCAGGAGTGGGGACTCCAGCAGCAAATCTTCAAAAGATGAATAGGAATCAGGCACCTGATCAGGCGGGGGGGACCAGGGCATTCCAGGCTCCGGGGACAGCAGGAGCAGAAGCACAGATTACCAATGGGCAAGTAGGAACGAAAATCTTCCCTGTCCTTCTCCATCCGGAAACCCTCTCCTGCATACAGCTGGATGTATCCCGGAGGGCCGTACCCCAAACCCAGCCTGTCCACAGTCTAGCCTACACCCAAACCAAAACAGGTCACTGACTCACCTGCTTCCCCTCAATGTAACGAACTCAGTTATATCATCATTATTCTCCTGCTTTTAAATGAAATAAGACTCTCCCACTCCGTACAGCCCTTTACAATTACCAGTCCTTTTAGACTTTGCACAGGGGCTGTGGTACAAAGAAAAGAAACCCACGGTTCTCACAGCTCTGTGGGGTTTCCTTTTTCTACTAACTGTGGGATTTCACTTAACCTCTCTACATGTCCTTTCTCTACCATAAAACGGGACACCAATAGTCTGTGCCCAAGTAATTGACACACTTTTGTAATCTCTTAGAATCCCATTAATTGTGTAAAAATACCTTATAGGGACAGATATGTTTTATACTCATAAAGATACATGAGCATAAAGATGAATACTTTATCAAGGCTCCTCGGTGGCTCAGTCGGTTGCCGCTCTGCTTTCTGCTCGGGTCATGATCCTGGGGTCCTGGGATCGAGCCCCACATCCATTGGGCTCCCTGCTCAGCAAGGAGTCTGCTTCTCCCTCACCCTCTGCCTCTTCTCCTCCCCCTCACACACACCCCCACCAGGTCATGAGCAAGCACTTCTCCCTCTTTAGATGCCTGGGAACAAAAACTCTATTCTCCTCGCCATTCAAATACAGGTATTTATTGAGCTTTATTAAGTGTGCAGCACTATGGCGGGTGATACAACAAGGTAAAAGAGGTCCATAGAGGGCTGGGAGGACATTTATATGAAAATAAAAAGTTAACTAAGATAAATGCTAGAGATCTGGGTGCAGAAAAAGCCCAGTTCAAATCCCTACTCAAGGTATAAGCTAGGTAAATCGCTGAAATTTCACTAAGACTCATTTCTCTGTAAAGAGAGATGACAATAGTACCTCTATCATCAGAGGGATGTCTTAAAGATTAACCAACATGAAGCGTTTAAAGCTCTTAGTATGGTGCTATGCACAGACTATTCAGCAGATAGCAAGTGCAGGCTGAATTAGGCACCGAATCACCAGGAAGGTGCCAACTGGAATAGAAGCCAAGAGATGAGAAGGATGGCTGAGAAGATCTCCAAAAAATGTGCATGGAGGGTGAACAGGATCTCCCTCGGGGGTGAGGAAGGGGCTCCCATCCAAGGGAGGCATGGCCTGAGAAGGCCCCGGGGTCCTCTAGGCAGAAAAGTGAAAAGATTGATCTTGGCACCCTCGGCATTGTCAGTGGCAACACAAGATGGTGCAGCTGCTTGGGAAACAGTATGAAGGTTCCTCCAAAAATCAAAAACAGGATTACCAGCAATCCCACTTCTGGGTGTATATGGCAAAGACTTGAAATCAGGATCTCAGAGAGATACGAGCACTACCGTATTGACGGCAGCAGGGCTCATGAACGCCAAGGCATGCCAACGGCCTAAATGTCCGTCAACAAATGAATAAGGAAAATGTGGCACAGGCATACAATGGAACACGAGTCAGCCTTTTAAAAAGAAGGAAACTCTGTGACAATAAGTGTGTGACAATAAGGATGAACCCAGAGAACATTTCACCAAGTGCCATAAGCCAGTCACAGAAGGACTGCATGATCCCACTTACATGGGGCACCTAAATTCATAGAATCAAAGAGTAGGATGGTGGTACCAGGGGCTCCGGGAAGGGAAACGGGGAGTTGCCAACCAACAAGCATCACATTTCAGCTAACCAAGGTGAATAAGCTCTAGAGATCTGCTGTGCAATATGGTTTGTACACTTCAGAATTTAAGGGGTAGATTCGCACAATAAGTGTTCTTACCATAATAAAACACAATGTTAAAAAGAATGATAGAGAGATTGACCCAGCTGCAGTGGAGGGGAACGGTCATGCTGGGGAGCAAGAATGAGTGCTTGTGCATCTGCCCACTTTCCCGGCTCACAGATTGTTCTGGAACAGAAACTATCCATTTCGGGTCCATTCAGAGCTGCCGTCCTCGGCCTTCTGCAGTGCCAGGGCCTGACACAATCTTGGCCACAGGGTCAGCGGAGAGCCTGCCGCAGCGAGGGAACAAAGGGACAAGGCCAGCACTTCCCTGGACATGGGGCCCCGAGGAGCTACAGTTTATGGGGTCACTCCTTCTGCAGTTCTCAACTAACCATGAGCCTTGGATTTATAGGCCACTCCAGCAAGTGCCCGATTTTCTGACACAAGGACTCAGGCCTCCTCCATTCCCACATTAGCTGCCAGATGAAATCCCATATTTATTCAAAAACTTTTTGGATGAAACAGCAATGTTTCATAGAAACAGGGGGCCCAGATATTGAAGAAATAGAAATTGCCTTATGAGTTGGAAATCTGAGTTCCTCGGATAGAAAGTCAGTGGATTGGATTCTTTCTTGTCACATTAAAAAAAAAAATCTAGTTATAAAGAGTTTGAAAATAATCTTCAGGGGAGGAATAATGAGAGTTATTTTAAAAACACAATGAGGGGAGTCACATTTCTTTGCAGCAGGTGTGTCACCCTTCACAGAAAAAAAAGGGCCGGTGGGAGGAGGGAGCGTTACATGAACCTCGAGGACATTTCGAGGGCGTTCAGCCCAGTGCAATTCCACTCAAGTTTCCTTAGAACTTTCCTCACATAAAGTCCTCTGAGGGGTCTCCCCAGTCACCCAAGGAAA